CCCATCTAGTTCAGCATCCTGTTTGCACAGTTTGCACAGCCAGATGGATAAGGGAAGCCTGCAAAGCGGTGTGGACCAAGGAGCTGCTTGAACTGTTCCATTCCTCAGTTCTGTTGTGCACAGGAAAAATGATGGCATGGAGACAAGTTTGCTTAAACCAGGCTGCACATGGAAGGCGCAAGCTGCCATTTCAGTTTTCACTGAGGGGGAAATGAAGCCACGGCCATAGAAATGTCTGACCATCCCCATGTGTTCAGTTTGGGTCTCCCTTGTCTTACACCACATGAACCCATCCATCCTTGTGCATCATGCACATAATGTGACAGTGCAGTGAGGATTACAGATGTATCCTGGAAAATGCTATGCCACGCCATGCCACCATGTCAAAGTTTTCTTTTCCTGAACATCCCCAACCTCAATGCAAGAAAGGGAAGTCCTACATTTTACTAACACTAGGCAAATTGTTCTCACAGCATTAATTCATTTCAGGTCACCATTGTGACCTAAGATGTGAAGAGACCCACGTGCTGTTTCCTTCTTACGCAACACAAACAAGTGTTGTGTGAGGCTCCTCTTACATATAGGCTGGGCCAGGAGGCGGGAGGGCAGGGACCACCAGCCTCCGTTGCTGGACCCCTGTGGTTCCTTAATGCAAAGGCACTTTTCACATGCAAATGATAACAGGATCACAAACAGGCTGTAATGGTAGGCATGCTTACTTCATGGTTAACTCCATCAAATAAATAGGACTTATTTCAAAGAAAACGTGTTCAGGGTGGCAGTGTGAATATGAAATGTACCGTTACTGATCTTTTAGAAATCTAACTTGTGGGACGAAACTCTACCTCTCCCAGATTACATGTTGCTCCCCACACCCCATCCTCAATTATATTTTCCTGCAGATTCCACTGGTCCCATGCAAAGGCACATGGCTAAGGCTATGTACACATTATTGGCTTAAAACGCAGCAAGGTTGTCCCCCCCCCCGCCCTTGAAGTCACACACTTGCATGTTGCTGTACACACCAGACAGAGGTGGGATGTCTTCATTTCCTATTAGCATCCCTCGCCACTGCAACTCCCAGAACTCCGATGCATGAAGCTGTCATCTGCACATGTACAATGGTTGACTCAAATGTACGCCCTTCAGCTTAATGGTAGGGGACTGTGGCTTATGTTTCAAATCAGATGGAAGCTAGTTTAAGGGGAAATGCATCAAATAGCAGTATTTTTGAGGGAAATTCAGGATATATATGGACTGTAACTAATGTCCTTCAAATACCAGTAGTGAGAGTGCACTGGAGCCAGAGTAAACAGAATGTCAGATGTATGGATCAGACCCTAGTGTGTGTGTCCCCGTCCCCCAAGAGTTGGTTCACATGCAGAACCAAATCACAAAGCAGTGTGACAAGCCTTCCGGACAGGTGTTTTGAAAAAATCCCTATTCTGAGGGACGGGAGTTCTTCCTCATCAAATGGCAATTTGGGGATGAGGATGAGCATGGGGTAGGGGAAGGTGAGTTAAGACTGAGGTGAAAAATCTGTTGCCTTAGTACAACAGTAAGGGAGTTTTCCTCAGAAACTGAATTCTCATGGGAATAAATCCAAGCTGTCCTGACTTGATCTAACACTTCCTCTTGCTCCTAGAAAAGATGTTCATAAAACATTTACAGAGCTTGGCGCCTATGTCAAATAAATTCATCCAAACATCTTATGTCACTGCTATGCTGCGGAGAGAGGGTGGAGAAGCAGCAGCACCACACACTCCCATGCTCTGTTTATTGTTGCTGTTACCTGACTGTGACTATGGTAATTGTTCCATGGAGGGTGGGGAACCCCACGTCATCAACAGATACACACAGTAGAGCAGTAGAGCAACCCTCTTCAATGGGGAGGAGGGCTACACAAACGCAAAGAGTCATAATTTACATGGGGAAAGTCATTTGTCAAAAAGGCAAGAAGAGAGAACAGAGCATCACGTCCAATGTACGTGAGTTAATGTGACGTCCTTCGTGTTCAGGTCTGTGCAGATTGTACAGTCAGTCCAGCACACCCAGGTTGGGTAAGGCTGATAAAAGAGGTCACATTGACCACCCTGCAGCAGAAAGTATGGCCACCTTTGTCTATGCATAACTAAAACATTTGTGACCAAAGGTCTTCTAAGACTCCATCTCCAGCCTAGTGCCAGGACTATCAACACAGAAGGTTCATAGTACCAGAACTTAACCTATTCAACCAAGCTTGCTGTATGTCACAAGCAGAAAACAGGAATGTTGCACAAATATATCTATATGTAAATATAACTCAGATTAAGCAATATGTGGTACAAATGTCATAACCAGTCCAATCCTCCTCAACCTGCATGGAGCCCAGAAGGCTTGTGGGAAACACAGATTAAGTACAGAAGACAGGTACAAGATGCAGGGCCTTTTCTGTTGTGGCCCCCAAGTTATAGAACTTTCTCCGCAACTGCATGTAAAAAACCCATTTATTTCAGACTACTTTTTTCTTTAATGAGGTCTCTTAATGCTGGAGTTTTTTAAATTAATGTTTTAGTATTACTAATTTATTGGATTCATCCATCCCACCAAATCTTGCATTTACCAGTGCCATTCATTAATAAGGCAAAAAGAAATGTAAGGTCACTATTAGAATGCAGGGAAGCAACGTAGGTTTCTTGACAATGTTTTAAAGGGACTGACTAGCTAGCAACCAAACAAAGAAAACTCTTCTGGGAACTATTGCTGTAAATTAAAAAGAAGCAATTTATTATTTCTGTCAGCAATGGGCCTCAGCACTGTTTTGGTTAGGATGGATTTTACTGTAGTGTTTACAGCAGAATGATGTACATGTTTGTTTGAATTACAGTATTTTGCTAGATTATAATAATTGTGTTCATTTATAATATATAGTTTATAGGGAATAGCTACTTCATTTTGAAGGAGGTGAAGACCTGGTGGGGTTGTTTAAAAATCAGCAAAATAGCTTTGCTTGTATAATCAAACTGATTTCCTTATCTGTATTCCTCAGTAGAATATCTCAATGGGAAGCCAGCCTCAGAAATTCAAATTTCCATTCTAGTTTCAGCTGCATGTAGGCATTCTGCTACCATTGATACTAGAACCCTCTAACAGCTCATGAAGATTACTAAGACTACAGTGAGTACCCAAGAAATCTGATGTGCAATATACTTTCCTATACATGTTCCACGGGACATGGGTGGCGCTGTGGTCTAAACCACTGAGCCTAGGGCTTGCTGATCAGAAGGTCGGTGGTTTGAATCCCAGCAACGGGTTGAGCTCCCATTACTTGGTCCCAGCTCCTGCAAACCTAGCAGTTTGAAAGCACGTCGAAGTGCAAGTAGATAAATAGGTACTGTTCTGGCGGGAAGGTAAATGGCGTTTCCGTGCACTGCTCTGGTTTCGCCAGAAGCAGCTTAGTCATGCTGGCTCCCTCGGCCAGTAAAACGAGATGAGTGCTGCAACCCCAGAGTTGTTCGCAACTGGACTTAACTGTCAGGGTTCCTTTACCTTTATATACATGTTCCACTATTCAGGGATGCCAACCTTTTTGAGCTCTTAAGCACATTTTCAAACTGGAGGTCTTAAGTAATGCCCTACTGTAGGTGTGGGGAATCTTTGACTCTACAGATGTCGCTGGAATGTAAATCCCAATATTGCCACCCACTGGCCATGCTTTTTGGGGCTGGGAGTTGTGGTTCAACATCATCTGGAGGGCCAAATCTCCCCCCCCACACACACACCTGCCCTACTGGATCATGCCAAAGGCTCATCTAGACGGCAGCCTTAGAAACTTCGTGGGGCATCATAAATTGTAAAGCTCACATAATATCCTTTGTATAAGTATTCATAAGTTGCTGACCGGCCACGGCAAGGTGTTAATGGGTTTTGTCTCCAGAGAGCTGGAATGAAGGCACTATTAGGATTTGTAGTAATAGTGGGGAAATGTGGGGGGGAAACTGCATATGATGTACACTGGGGTCACGGTACCAAAGTGAGCAAAGAGTGTATTTGTGGGAAGGTGGAAGGGAAGAAGACTGAAAACTAAAAGCAGGTTTTGATTGCAGCAAAATGAAAGTGGCAAAGAAAGAAATTAGTTGGTGGGCTTTGGGCAATGCCTTATTAAAGGAATTTTCACTGGCGGGGAACAAATTCCAAACAGCATTTTTAACTACCGGTATATAAAATGGCACTTTAAAATCTTCATAAAAATACATATCACATAAACAAAACAAAGACTATAATAAATGTATTTTAACATTAAATGTGACTAAAGGAAATTTGGCACTTACATTTCAGAGTGATCTTCTCTGTTACTCCAGTTTGGAGCAGTTTTGTTCTTTGAGAACTTCTTGCTTCCGCTGTATCACCACAGTTTATGGGCAATATGCACATCCCCAGGCCACCACTTTCAATTCTCAGATTTTTTTATTTTAAAAATCCTTACATCAAGCCTCATGCCTTGATAATAACTGAGTCCATTTTGATTGGCTGTCTCTTTTGTCAGATTTTGTCAAATCCTTCTGTAATTCAACTTCTTGTGAAGGGGGGGGGAGTGATTTGCCCTCAATTTTTGCCAGTATTCTGTTTTGTTTGCACGCACCTCACCTGAGACTCAGGCTGCTGAGCTGCTGAGCTGCAGGCTGCCATTTAGGCCTTCCTGTCTCTCACACAGAGGAAGAGAGTGCAGGGAAGTGCTTGCTTGTGCTCTGATTGGCTCTCCAGTAAAATCTTCCTCTTGGCCTTTTAGGGCTGCCTGTTTATTAAGATAGGGCAAGATATTTTGTTTGCAGGCCAGCGAGAAATTACATACATACAGGATCTCTCTACAATCATGTAGACTAGGGAAGGGATTCAAGGAATGTGTGGGATTCCCAAAGTAGATGAAAGCAAGTTAACTCTCTTCACAGTGACCTCAAAAGTACTCTCTCATTTATTATGTATTTAGCAAGGCAGAGTGAGATTCTCTCCCTTCTCTCATTCCCTCTTAGCACTATGAACAATACAAAAGCCTGAGTATGGGGAATTTTCCCAGACTCTTTTCTGTCTGCTTCCAATTCTAAGAAAAGAAAATTATTGAAGTGGGCGTGTAAATACCTCCTCAAGTTCTCCTCACATTTAACATTCAAGCTTGCATCCCCCCCTTCCCCCCCAAGGCAGCCCTGTCATGTCCATCAGCATTCACAGCTCCCAGCTGGGCCTTTAGAGAGGCTTTCAATGAACTTTCTTGTCATGTTCCTTGTCTGTTTGGGGAATCTGAAGAAGACATTTTGGAGGGGTCAGAACAAAAAGAGCACCGGAAGGGGAGAGTTGGAGTTTCCTGAGAAGGGACACAGCATTGGCCAGAGGAACCCATGTCTTCATGCTGAATAAAGAAACTTGGTGAACACAAAAATGCACGTGAGGAGAATTCCTTCACTTTTTTAGATGTTCTATTAAAAAAAAGCTTTGGCTTTTGGGTTCAGCTGCTCCCAAGGTCTGGAACAGCAGGCCTTGACTTCCTGAGGGATCGGCCTCATTGTGAGGCTTCCAAGAGAGCTCACCAAGCCCTTAAATCTCTGGGATGAAACTTCCATGCCCAAAGGCAGCTACTCATGAAGAATTCCCCACAGCAAAAAGGGTGACCATAAAGCAGTGGTCCCATTAATTAGCAATCCAATCCCAAATATATTTATTTGAAATGCAGCAACAGGCTGTACACATACAGTTAAGGTTGCAGGGCTGGGGAAGCTGGGGGCCAAAATATCCCTTTCTATTCAATGTATTCTATTATGTGCAGAAAGGACTCTTTCCAGTCAGGCAAATATGCTCTCTCCCAAGATCCAGTCACTCACCCAACGCAATATTAGGGCTCATATACACAGTTTAAAACTCTCCCATATACACACACGGTGTAGGAACAGTTAATGTATTCAATTTTATTTACACTCTTTGAATCCTCGAGTGTAATTGCCCATCTCATTAAAAAAAAACCTACCCCCATCTCCCTACATGATTATGGCCTTTCTCCTTTGATGCTAGCTTTCCACAGACAGGAATTTTAGGAGGGGGAACTTCATCATACAAAACGAAATAATCCCAAGAAACCTGTGCTGTGCCTCATGTTCCACCCAGAGTTCCTATTACTACAACTGCACAAACTTTCTCACAGTGAGCTGCTGACATCTTGTGGGCAGAGATAGTGTTGCACACTTAACCTGCTACAGGTCAAACTTAAATCCTTTAAAAGTGAAGGTGAGCAAGGACAGGTTGAAAAGTCTCTTCTTCACTCTTTCCTTCACAAAGCTGCTTCTTCTCAGCCGTCTTGGTTTTAGTCTGGGAGTTACTTAGAAATTAAGTAACTCTCCTATTTTATTTTAGTTTTTCAGGCACATATATTCTTAGATGCAGTTGGGTTGCTTTTCCTCATTCTTGTATGACTCAGAGATCCTTGATATACACAATATTCATTCAATTTCATCTAGATTTAATTTGTAACCAGATATCCGAGTAAAAACATCATTGTCATTTAGCACCTCCTAGTGATAGAATTTATTGATGCAAATAAATAATATAGAGGCTAATTTTAATCCTAATTTCTAAATATTCTATATATTCTATAGTTGCATAATATTTTAACAAGGAGTTCTATAAGCATAGTGAACTGCAGTAGATATGGGAAGAGGATATAGGAACTATATAAAGATATGGGTATTCTTATCTAAAACCCCTCTAAAAACAAAAACCACTCATGAAATTATTTCATCCATGTTACAGTCTTGTTCCTTGACAATTATGCAGTAACGTCATCCAATTAATGAAGGTTTTCTGTTAAATATATTTCCACCTGACTGCTTCTAAGACCTTCCTGTTCACCTTACAAAATGCCTTTTGGACATTTAGGCAGTACATGTTTCTGAAGGCTTAACTAGGTCCTTATCCAGAGAGTCATGCTTCTAACAGTGGGCTGTACATGCACTGCTATGCTCACATATCTGATGGATGATGTGAACTCTGCCCAACAGGTCAGGGGGGAACAGATTCAGCAGTCATCATGAGCGGTGGTTAAACTGCCTTTCATGCAATTGAATGGTAATTATAACTACTTTATGAAAAGTAGTTTAAAATGACATACAGTCGTACTTTGGAAGTCGAACGGAATCCATTCTGGAAGTCCGTTCAACTTCCAAAACGTTTAGAAACCAAAGCGTAGCTTATTCTGATTGGATGCCAGAAGCTCCTGCAGCCAATCAGAAGCCGCAGAAGCCCCGTCAGACATTCGGGTTCCAAAGAATGTTTGAAAACTGGAACACTCACTTCCAGGTTTGTAGTGTCCAGGAGCCAAAACGTCCAAGTACCAAGGCGTTCGGGATCCAAGATACGACTGTATTTTAAAACTATTTTTGTTTGTCACTACTAGGAGGGGGGGGACCTGTTATATAAACAACTGATCATTTACTATCATAATGAAAATTTTGTATAAATCTCAAGGGCCCTTCCAGGCTGGTGTTTTTTGGCAGGTGTACCCTGCAACCTGTCACTGACACAACATCAGCAGTGATTTTTTATTGAACCATCCTCACATTATTTCACTTTGCTAGTTGTTCTGCAATGTGAACAACACTGCATTACAGTCATACCTCGGGTTACAGATGCTTCAGGTTGCGTTTTTTTGGGTTACGGACCGCCGAAACCCGGAAGTACCAGAACGGGTTGCTTCCGGGTTTCGGCAGTCATGCATGCGCAGAAGCGCCGAATTGCAACCCACGCGTGCGCAGACGCGCCACTGCGGGTTGCGGATGCTGGGGGTTGCAAATGTGCATCCCACACGGATCACGTTCGCAACCCAAGCGTCCACTGTATTGCCCTTTGGAGAGACACTCTTGCATTATGGCACAACAGATACAAAAAGCCCTCAAACATTTGTGGTATAAATGGTACAGTATTTTTCCAGGAAACTACAGGACACACAGGGACGCGGGTGGCGCTGTGGGTAAAAGCCTCAGCGCCTAGGGCTTGCTGATCAAAAGGTCAGCGGTTCGAATCCCCGCGGCGGGGTGCGCTCCCGTTGCTCGGTCCCAGAGCCTGCCAACCTAGCAGTTCGAAAGCACCCCCGGGTGCAAGTAGATAAATAGGGACCGCTTACTGGCGGGAAGGTAAACGGCGTTTCCGTGTGCTGTGCTGGCTCGCCAGATGCAGCTTTGTCACGCTGGCCACGTGACCCGGAAGTGTCTCCGGACAGCACTGGCCCCTGGCCTCTTAAGTGAGATGGGCGCACAACCCTAGAGTCTGTCAAGACTGGCCCGTACGGGCAGGGGTACCTTTACCTTTACCTTTACAGGACACACAGTGACAGGAAACAAAGCAACATGTTTGTCTTGAAATGGTTGCAGGGGCAAAGATGATAGAAAACGGTTTTGAGTATAACTGCGCCAACACCAATGAATGAATGCACAGTAAACAAGATGTCTGGATGGGCCCAAGAGAATACGAAAGGAAACACTAAGAAGAATGCAGGCATGCCTGCAATTACCAGCAGATGGTGTGGCAACCCTTCTATACTTCCTACACAGTTAGCCGCTAGGGCCTTGCTCAGTTTGCAGCATTTCTAAAGGCTATGGTATTGATTATGCTGGCACAGGGATGGGAAACCTGTTCCCCTCCATAGGTTGCTGCTTATGGGCTATGGTGGCTATTGCCCATTGAGACTGGTAGTGCAGAAGGCAGGGAGACCCACAGGAGGCAGAGCCAAGGATATGCCATTCTAATTTTGTCTCCATCCTCCTTTCTCAGATATGCAAGGGACAACATTGAGGCTAAGGAAGAGGCTGATGAGGCAATGTCACCCCTTGGAATGAATGTAAGTAAGAAGTCAGGTAGGGCCCCATTCACACTACTGGACCAGCCTCCATTGCTCCCTTTTCTTAAAGGATCCCTATCAGATTCCTGGGAGTAGGGATTTCAGTGTGGAATGAAGAAAGACACGGCCAGCAGGTCAACTGATGAATATTGCATTTTAGATTTTTGTTTTAATGTTGTGGCTTTTAGATTTTGTTAGACACCCCGTGCTCTGTGTGAGAAAGGGGAGGATGTAAGACAGTAGTCGTAGCAGCAGCGGCAGCAGCAGAGGTGGTGTAGTACTGCTGTTATTTTTATTATTCCCTCCTCATAAGTGAGAGAGGGCAAGCTAGATCTCTGTGTGAAAAGAAAACAAGGGTCAGAATTTTAGTGGACACCCAACTTGTGTATATTTTAAAGGCATAAGCCTCCAAGGGACCTCCTTACAATAAACCTCCAGAGGTTTCTAAACCACCACCCCTCTTTCCATCCAAGTATATCAAGAAGCATAATCACAATTGAAGGAAACATCCCAACCAGGAAAAAGCACCTGAGGAGTAGAAGACAGGCCCTAAATCACCAAAGAGGAAGAGAACTTTCAGCCCTCCTTTCTGCTCTGTCCCTGAGTGTTGTATTCCAGATATGATACCCCTTAAAGACAGAAGCATCACAATGAAATAGAAAGTAAAACAGAGTCTGGGAGTCATTTAGTGACAATCAGCATTTTCCATACTCAAGAGTTTGTAGCTATTTTATTGCACTTGAAACACCAAGAATAAAACTGACAATCCCCATCTCCCCCACCCCAAAAATATAGCATAAAATTTTAGCAGTGATCATTTTGTTCACAGCCACAGCTTCAAAAAACTGGAACAATGAATCCAACACAGTCACACCGCTTTACAGGTCTGATTCACTTACAAAATATACTGAAGGATTTTGGAATATTCCAGTCACATCAAGTTAACAAACATTAGAGGGACGCTCCCTGACTATTTTGTTTGTTTACATTACAAAGCTGCTTTTTTTTTCTTCCCTTCTTTTTTGTGATTTTTTTTTTGCATTCATGTGAAATAAATATTTCCATAGAGATTTCATATATTTATATGCATATATATTTATATCTTTATATATATCTTCTTATATACATTTATACTTTCTTCTCAAACCACTTTTCCAGCTTCTCCCCTTCTCCCCACAAATGTTACAAAAGCCAAAAAATTGTGCAACAGTTAGAAAAAAAACCAAAAATACCAAACTTTGCCTTCTCGTGGATTTTCCCTTACCAAAAAGGGGCAGGGAGCAGGACAAAAAGTGGCTGATTTGCAGCCATGCAAGAACTAAGGAGGAGGAAGGGAAGCCATCTTAACAAAAAGGAGAATATGTGGCATAACTGAAGGAGAAAAGACAACTGGTATTCTCAGTTAGGTAGGAAGCAAAGTCTGAGCATATAAAGCTTTGCTCCAGGTTCCATCTATCTGGAGTATATTTGAATATATTTATTTTTTCGTTCCACCAGCACAATGGCAGCTGTAATGTACAGTGGAAAGGGTTTCCTAGGAATCATTCTGTCACACATAGGAACCTAGGAAGCTGCCTCTTACTGAGTCAGATCCTTGCTCCATCTAACTTCACTTATACTGACTGCCAGCTGCTCTCCAGGGTTCCAGGCAGGAATCATTCCAACCCCTACCTGGAAATGCTGGGGATCAAACCTGAGAACTCCTGCAGGCAAAGCAGATGCTCTGCTACTAAGCCACGGTCCTTCCCTACTGCTAACTTCATCTCTAGCTGGAAATTAATTTCTGGGATCAGTTGTGAAGTAGGTAAGATTACTAGACTTCAACAAGGAGCAGGCTAACTTTGCAGTTGTTTTCACATCAGTGGTAGAATGCTAGGTGAGGTAGCCCAGTTTCCCCCCACCTTGTCCAATATAACAGGCATAAACTGTCCCTGATACGGTATATCCCGGTTCATCTTGAAAGTAACAAAATATGGAGATTACTCCTGTGCAGCTGTAGAAAATGCCAATAAATGCAGCACACCTTAATCCTGGTTCTAGATTGTTATGAGGAGTCGGGTAACCTCTTGTTGCTGTTTGTTAGATTTTATTTCAGATTAGTTTGTCCCTCCTTATCCCTCTACTTCCTGGTTATTGTGCCTTTTATTGCTCTTCACTGCTTTCCTATACATCCATGGTTTCTTTCTGTTCAAGACCGTAGACGAGGGATATTTTTATTTTATAAAATAAGCACAAATATAGATGTGCAGCCCTTCATGCACCAATAACTTTGATGTGGGATGCCAAAGTGGGTGACGGGTTGAAATACTTTTGTGGGGTTGTGTAGAAGCTGAGGTTGTGCTGTGGGAAAGCCCCTCTATTGCACTTCCACAAAGAATAGCAGGAGGTGTTTGTGAGGTTTCTACGGGGAATGGGTTGAAATGCACGAAAGCTTGTAGTTGTGGTTAAAAAGGTAAGGCTACGCTAATGCAAGAGGAGGTCCAGGACAATGCTCTGGATAAGGGAAATAGCAAGATGTTTGAATAAACATTAGCAAAGGGCATTGTGGTGGGAAAGGTTAGCACTGGTACCAGCAAAACCCAGTGTCACATTACTGGGACAGATGGTAAGATAAAAGTGTGAGCCATTTGCAGCACCTCCTGCCCAGGACAAACTATAACAAAATAGGCCTGTCCAGGCACAACTTCAGGATTTTTAACTGGTGTTTCCTCTTGGATCCTATCACTAGGCTGTGAAAGGGAAGATGTCACTGAACATTTGACTCGGCTGATAATGACAATGATGGTGATGAATAGTCAAAGCACATTTTCCAACCGCATCCCTTCTTGTTGGACTCCATAAAGCTCATATGGAGCCATGATATTGTTTTTTTGTGCTCAAATAGATGCTGCTAACAGCCTACCGCATACTAGAGAGGAAATTCCAATTACATTTGTACCTTTCACCATCTGAAATCTGCCCCACTGCCTAAAACCGAGGGGCAAACTACATATTGTCCTGCAGGGGGTTGGAATAGGTGACCCTCAAGGTCCCTTCCAACTCTCTGGTTCTCTGATTCTGTGTTACATTACACACAAATGCACGCAGTGAAGCTCTGCTAATGTTTATAATGAAAAGCAGCTTCAAGAGTCTACAGTTTTGAGTGTTGTACTAAGAGGAGGAATGGAATGCTTAGCCCATGCCCTGCCAGGTGTTTTGTTAGGTTCCACCCACCACCACTACACACAAAACTGTTTCACCTTTGTGGGAATTCCAGGAGCGTTTACCCTCCTAAAGCACTTCAACCCTATTGTGGGGAGGACGGGGAGGTAGGGTGGCTTTGGGGCAGAAAGATGTAAAGCATTCCTTTCCCTTTACCATGCCTTCAAAATCCCAGCCCCTTGATGCTGCTTGTGGGTTTGCTACATGCATTTCTGTGGAACATGTACTGCCTTACTGGCATCTGTAGCCTATGGAACCAGAATTGCACTTGGAAGAGTACCCAAGCTTATGTGCTCCAGAAGTGATTAGGATTCATAAGCCAGTGGGCCTCCATGATGGCGGAGAAAATGCAAGCGTCCTTTATTGTGGAAGCCAGGAAAGGTGAACTGGTTTGTCTCTAGGTATTATGCCACTGATACGGAAGAGTAAAGGCGGGGTTTGGGGATGTACAGACTATGGATCAAAATCTGGGTAAATTGCTTTCACGGTCATAACAGGGTTTCAGAAATGCCAGTGGCAATCAGGGCGAAGAATACATGAGAGGGCCTTGAAAAGAACTTCATGGTAGAAGGCCCCTCCTTAAAGTGCAGGTGCTTAATCAGATGTTTTGGGCTAAACTTTAATGGGATGGATTGGATGCCTTGTCACCTGTCAGGTTCCCCTCTTTACTGGAAGACTTGAGAGAAGTCAGGCTCTGCTAGGACAGACTCCCCCTTCTCTTTGAAATGTTGAGGTTTATGTTTGGAAAGGATGCCAGAAATCACAAAATATAAATTCAATGCAGGAAATAGTATTAATGTTGCCCAAAGAAACACAGTCAAAGCAGCTAATGCTTGACAGAATGTGTGCTTGGGAAACAGGAAGGAAGGGCCTCCTCATTCCTGAAGTACTCCTCATAATACAGTGGAAGCAAAAGCCGGGTGCAATGGGTACAGCCCAGACAAGCCAGGCTATCAAGGTTTATCAGATTCATCACCTGAGCAGAGGTTTTCACAGAGAAATGGGTCAAAAATAGTTCAGTGGTCAGGAAGTTTCAGTGCTGCTCAACTCAAAAGAAGAGAACTTCGTTGAAGTCCAATGTAAAATCAAGACATGTGAACACTGGCAGCTGAAAATTAGGCCTGTAGTTATAGATATGTAAAGATGAGCTGCCATGTATGTTCTAAATGCTACTAGTAGGTGAGGATAATGAAACAAAAATGAAACAAATTGACTGAAATCCAAGTAATTTGAGTGGGGAAATGCAAACAGGTCCTCAGGTCTATATTTTTATGGCAAGCCCCCCTGATATGAAAGCCCTTCTCACCTCAGTATAATTTTTTGTATTCAGTTGAGCATCAAAAAAACTCCAATGATTCAATCACGTTATACTTTTTCTGTTAGAAATTGGAAAATGGTACACTGACAGCCCCTTCTGAGTAAAAAGCAAACTCCTGTTTAGGCAAATCAGATCCTGTCAAACGGCCCTCCTTTCCCCTTAGTCACTTTCCCCCCTCATCTCCAATGGGAAGTTATTCTTGCACTTTGCAAAACTTGGCTTTATATTGACAGATGTCTGCCCTGCCTTACAAGATGGAAAGCTAAGCACTTCAAACCACGGAAAAGGCAAAATCACACCATTCAAAATTTACACAGAGAGTTTCCCCCACTGTTGTTGTTGTTGCTGCTGTTGTTGTTGTTGTTACTGTCCCCAAACAAGCATGTTTGTTTGCTTTGAAGTACACGTAGCTGTCTATAAAGTTAAATGTCATGCAAATGAAGAAAGTGCCATTTATAAGTTCCCTTGGTAGTAGAAGTGCACGGTAGTTAATCTCACATCAAAGAGTAAAGACTTTTAAAGTTTCAAAAAAATAAAAGATAACAAGAAACGGAAAGACTGCCAAAAAATCAACAACCATCACACTTCCCATACCTGTACTAGAAGGCAAGAAGGTGATGCCAAAAATAGAAGATCTTTCAGCCCCTCCATATGCCATCAAAACAACAATGGTGTCAGGGACATTCTGGCTTGTGAAGAACCCATTCCTGCATTCCTTGAAGATGACTCCAGTGTTTTTAAAAGCAGATGCTGTCGTTTGACCCCAGTTTGGAAGTTTCCTCAGTCTCTCCATTGGGTTCCTTTCATTAGGATGTGCGATTCTGATTGCCAAACCTTTCTCATGGCATATAGAGAGTACATGACCACAAGGAGTCCTATTATGGCGTAAAGCACTCTTGAGATTTGCCAGAAGCCCACATCAGAAATCCTGCCCACATGTCCAGCTTATTGTGCCCTTTTGCACTTTCAAGAACAATTTGCCACAAAGTCAACTCCAAATGTAAACAATAACATATTAAGCCCCACCCACCCCATCCCAACTTCATTAAAAATCAGCCACAAACCCAAACAATTGATATTTCTAGGTATTACATAAAGATCCATTTTAGCAAATACTCAAAATCCATTTACGAAATAGCACGGAAGGGTTTTGTTTGTTTGTTTTTCATATAAAAAGGCATGCGCTCAAAGTACAAGAGATAGCGAAAGGTTTCATTTTGTTTGTTGAAAGCATAATCAAAACGCCTCAAAGTGTCATTAGTAAAGCTTGCATTCTCTGTCTTTGCTGGAAAGTGTTGGCCTCTATTTTTATGTCAAATTGAAGGGGCAGTTCTGTTTCCATAGTGCCCGCATCTTCAATGCTGTCAAATTGCCTGAAGTGTGTATGTGGGAAATTGTGGGATTAAAAAGGTTCAGCCTCCCCTCTTCCTCGTAATGGTGAATCTAAGTCTTGAAGGGACAGAGGGGAAAAGCATGACTCAAAATCCTGCCAGAAAGGAGCAAAAGGCCAGTTCAAAGAAAACTGAATTCTAAAATGAAACATCTAGGAGAGCCTTACTAAGATGAATAAAGGAAGTTCCTGTGGTGTGCTGGATAGTGGCAGAAACTGCCTCAACTATATCACTGTATTACAAATAAGGTGAAAAATACCCTGCTGCCATGCTGAATTTCCAACCTCTCATTTCATTTATGTGCTCTTAGACACATTATAATGCCAATATAGTGTTAACAGTTTCATTTCATGCACGTTCTGAAAAGAGAAAGGAATTGTCATGAACCTCAATTGGTCCAGGCACACAAAAAGGTACGTTCTCTGGGAAGAGAAATGGATTCTGCATTTTATGCGCCATAAAGCCATATTCATCCCAGCAGAATTTTACTAGGCTTTAATGAATATAGGCTGATACTTGTAAGATTTTAACTTCACACAGAACAGAAGATGTAGATGTAGATGAGTGACAGCGGTGCAGTGTGAACTGCTCCGGATTTAAATAATGAATGGTGGCATAGAAATATTTAAAAATAAATAAAATGATTGAGGTCATGATCAAGCAAGAATCTTGCGTTGCATGTATGCTTATCGATCTGGAATTTAGGTAACGCAGGGCAGTATAAAAGTATTTTTGATTTTGGCTGAGATCATAATCGAGCAAGAACGTTGCATTGTGTGGATGGGCATCGATCTGCCATTGCAAGGAGGTGACTTCTGATTCTGCAGTGGAACATGCTCCCCTTTCTCTCAGGCCCCTTAAGACTTAGTGGAAAACAGCAAAGAGACCAAAATAAACCATGTCCTTGGGAGGAACACAGTTAATTTTAAGTACTGAACCAGGGTGGTTCTATGAAATCTGTGGGCAGTAGTGGCTGAAGGCTACCCCCCACATTGGGTTTCTCCCGTTAACCACAGAAAAGCTTTTTCATGCAATAGGGTGTCTTGCCCTGTTCTACTACAATGGCACAAAGTGGCAAAACGCAGAGCGTGTGAAACAGAAGGAGAAAAAGTCTATTAAATTCTTGGTTTATTTTGGTGAGGAGCTCTGTGTGTGAAAGGAATTCCAGCAAGAACCAAGGAGGAGAGTCAGCAGCAGCAGCCAAGTTCCCTAGGTAAAGGATAGCAGGGATCTTCCCTTTGTAGTGAGGCAGTGAGAAACCTGGCCTGAGGGGCTGATGCTTCAGCTGAAAAACACAAAAGGAAACGGCTTTTTACTCCACCAAAATGGTGACCTTCCCATCTGGTTCTCCCCCCAACCCCAGCCACCCCCACCCCAAATAATTACTCTTTTCTATTTGTGAAGCCTTGTCCTCCAGCTGGCATCCACCTCTCAAGCTTTGTGGCGGGGCAGGGGTGAAGGAGTGAAGGGCACGAGAGGACAAGAGATGTCCAGGAGAATGTAAAACATTTGGTCACACCCACACTGTACACTGAAAGCGTTCTTTGGTGTCATGGCTTTGCCCCAGAGAATCCTGGGAACTGTCATTTATTAAGGGTGTTGAGAGTTGGGTAGGAGACCCCTCGCAGAGCTACAGTGACCAGGACCCTTAACTAACCACAGTTCCCAGGATCCTTTGGGGGAAGACATGCCTGCTAAAGTGGTACAGGAGTGCTTTCAATGTGTTGGGTGGATGTGACTCATGTTGAGGGGGCCCACCTTCTTTCTGCAACTATCACCACTAGACTACTTTTGAACAGCCTTGCCCTGAAAAGAGAGCAGCAGCAGGAGGAGGAGAATAAGAGAAGAGCTGGGTGAGGGCTGCACCATCCCGGTAGCTGCTTGCACCTCAAACTACTAAGTGCCACCATCTCTCAAGCGGAGAACAGAGCATTCAGGGAACCCAAATGAAAAGAACAGGCAGGAGCATACACCTAGATTGTCAATTAGCCTCAGAGAAGCATAAGAAGCAGTATGCCTCTTTAGTGCTGCTGAGACATCACTCTTGCACTGCGAGCTGGATGGGGAATTAAAATAGCGGTTCCGTGTAGCACAGATCTTCCCCATTAGCATCCTGCAATGCCTATACACATGATGAAGGAGGAACAGGGCATGGCAGCTATTGAAAAAAATGGGGGAGGGGAATTAATTTTGTTTTAAAATATTGAGGAAAGGGTTCCTCCACCCCTTTATGAATGCACATTCACTCTAGAGCACCAGTTAACTTTTTTTCTTAAAGTCCCACATGCCAGGGAAATGACACAAGGCATCTCTGACAAGCAGGGGACAGAGGAAGGATTAGGCCTGCATTGCCTGACATACCATTTTAGGTGCTTTTAAAAAATGGTCCTTCCTTGTTATGCTGAAGTGCAAGTGCAGCAAGGCATTTTCATTAGAATTCCAAGCTCTACAGCTGAGAGAAACCAGAAAATGATGGGAGGGAATCTCCTTGCTTGCACTGAGCCCCAGAAAGGCTTGTAAAATAGTGAGAAGTCTCCCTAGCCCTCTCTGGCTTGAAACTGTAAGGAGCATCACAATGTTGTTGTGGTTCCCCACCCCAAATTTGTGCATGCATCTATTGCTCTACATGCAGCAGTGCAATAAGGAAGTGTCAAAAATATTTTTAAACCCTAAAAGTCTAACAGTGGCTGCACATGGGCAGAAGTGAAAGCCAGTTGAATCAATAGCTCTCTGCATAAACATGCTGAACAAGCTAGTGGGTTGTCGCCCGCCCCCCCCCCCCCGGTTCAACTGGAAAAATTGCCACAAATTAGATATGGGATGGGGGGATATGGCAAGGTGACACAGAAAACACCAGAATGCAACCATCTGTCAAAAATTTCATCTGGATTCTCTATGGTACCTAAATGAGGGAAGGATGGCAATTCCTCAGAAAACAGTTAGTGTGGAGGCAAACAGGAAAAGCAGCTACCACAAATAGGGTAGATGATTCTGTCAGTTTCACTTTTTCTCTGTCCCCAACCTTAATTTAAGTTAGTCACATTTGTATCAGTCTGTGATTTTTCTTTTTAAAAAGTCCTCATTAAAATTTGCTTGCATTTTAGTGCACATTTCTCCTAATATACACATTTTTGCAAGTAAATTATCTAATGCAATGCATTTTAGCATGTTGCTTTCACTAATATATATGTATTTTATGCACACTTTCCCCTAACAGTCATATTTTTGTTCACATTTTCTGAACATTTTCTGAATTTCACAAGTGGGAATTACACAGGTTTGCATGGCATTTTTCCTCCATCCCTAACTGCAAATAAATTTGTTTAATCCCCAGCGGGGTGTGTTCTTGTACATCACCTTGAACACTTTTTTATTTAAGCAGAGAGGCAATTCATAAAAGCAATGAATGAATGACTCTAACTTCAGTAGTAGTTTTCAACAGAGTGAGTAACCACTATCACGCTGGCCGCTAAGGGCTAGCCGTGGAGTCTCATCAAACCTGGACAAAAGATACTCTTCTCTGCTATCAGGGATGCCCATATGGAATCTTCTTGCACTCACATCAGAAACAGATGATCAGACACACGTGAAGTATCTGATGCTGGACTGTATCATTCCAGAGTGCAGGTGGGGGCTTGTGTGTTTGAATGTTCCCGCCTATTAAAAAACAAACAGTGTATACCCTTAACTTCATTTCTGCACCTTCACACCTTGTTATCAAGAAGTTTAGAGAGTGATAAAATAACACAGTTTTTCCCTCTTCACTTTCAACTCCACTTTATGGATAATAAAGTTATTTTCATTTCTTTTGATGATTTAAACTGGCAGTGCATTAGTTAACATGAAATACGAGGATGCATCTTTCTTCACTGAGAAAACACCTATGACAGTCATAACATCACAGTAAGAAAATGAATGGGGATGGGGAAAAGAACGTGGGAGCCCCAATTCTGAATGACATCACTAAAAGTTGAAACTTCTAAACCAATATAAACTGGGGTGGGTTGGTATTTTGCAATTAATTTGGCTTGCTCTGGCATAATAAATATCTCCTGTCACGTGACCAGATTCAAACATCATGTTCACAAATAATTTGACGTGGTAAAATTACCATGTGAAAAAGTGACCTGTGAACTGGGTCTGAGAGAGAGAGAGAATGTTAAACTTGCTCTAACTCCAAGAACCAGTCATTAGACACTTCTATTCCATGCATGTCATTGCCACCAATAAAATACCATTCTGAGTCTACCACATGGGGGGCGGAGTATTCTCCATTCTGGTAGCATGCATGTGGATCTTAGCAAATCATCAAACAATAATGTGTGACTGTAACTGGTGGGAGGTTAAACTAAATATGCATGAATTGCCTTTGAATCTCTTGTAATTTAATGCCATGAATGCACCCTTGCATAAAGGCAAATGATTAATCCCCGTCTGGGGTTCCCAATGTGGTGCCTGCAGGCACTACAGCACTCTCAGGCATCTGTCAAGGCCACCTCCAATTTTAAGTTTTGTTTTCAAAATTGTGGTTTGGGGCTTTTCATTGTTTGAGGGAGAGGCACCCTAACCCTAACCTGTTGCATTTTTTTAAAAAAATTATTTGTTGGGAGTGGTGTGTAGGTATTTGATTTTGAGAGACCGGGGGGGGGGGGAGGGGGGCGGTCCTGAGCACTGTCAGTTTTTCTTCTGGGAAATTTATTTTATTTTGTGGTGCCCACAACAGTTACTTAGATTTCCAAAAGCGCCCCCAGGCCCAACAAGGTGGGGGACCACTGACATAGATAAAAGTTCTTTCAGGAAGGTTTTGACCTAGCTACAAATATTGTTAAGCCATGCATATGTGTGTTACATTTGGCCTTCTTTCCTTCTACTGCCTTGCTTATACTCTCGCCTTTAATTTACACTTCTCTATTCCCGTTTACACTGTGGAAACGGAATATTCAGTTTTCAATGGTATGACAAGGGTGGCTTTGAGAGGGATCACCAAGGCCTGGGGATGACTTACTGTGGTAAGACAGAAGGTGCTCCAGATCTGTGGAAGTGAACAATTTGCCATTTGCCATCCCGGCGGTGCCAGATTCGGGTCTCCTCCGACTGTGCAGTGCGAGGGATCCCACTGGTGTCGACGTACTGCGTGATGCGGATGTAGGCAATGCAGGCAGATTCATCTCCCATTAAGTGGATGTGAGGGTTCAGGATGGTAGTGTGGACCGGCTTGCTGTTTCTAGACCACACTGGGGGTTGAGAGGAAAGCCAGTGAGATCAATGCTGCCTCCGTCTCCCCATAACTAGGACGGACATCTTTCTCTAATCTTTATAAAATCATTGTAGCAACAAGGAAAAAGAAGGCATATGCACAATATTTCTAGGCTTGTTTCAGTTTATGTCCCAATCATAGGGAGATTATTCTCTTAAAAATTCATTAAACTGCATTCACTGACCAGTCCACAATCTAAAAACTCAAAACATCGTTTGGGATTTCAACATTGTCAGCAAAAGTACTGTAGCTTGCCAGGTGGAACAATTCCCCCCTCCCCCCCGTGTTGTTCTGGGGGGTTCTCCTGACCCCCACCCCAGCCATTGGGGATGGGGCACTGTGCAAGCAGAAACCCTCAAATAGGGCTGGTGCTGACAGGGTTCATTAGGTGAATCCTGCTCATCCACTCTACATTCAACCATTTATGATTTGGTTTGAAACTTTGGAAATGAGTGAGAGATTAAGAGCACACGCCTAACCAAGTCTACTCAGAAGTAAACCTTCAAATGCATACCTATGAACTTACAAAGCTGACACATACTGTTGGTCCATCCAGCCCAACATGGTCTATTCAGACTGGGAATGACTTTCCAGGGCCTCAGCCAGAGGTCTTTCTTAGCCTTGATACAGATATGCTTTTTAACAGGAGGTGTCAGCAATTAAATCTGAGTTTGTGCTGTATCTCTGATATACTGTCCTGCCCTTAAATGCATGTGCTAGTTCAGCCAAGTTGTCCTTATCTTTTCAGAAAGCTCAAAAAGAGATAAGACAAATTTAAGGCATGTTAGGTCTATCTATTGCTGTGAACCAAAATGTTCAAAGGATGAAATTTCTACTCTGACAAGCAGAATCTTGGCGGGTAACAGGATAGAAGATTCCATCTATATGCCTTCAAATCTCTTAGCATACTTTATTTTAAAACAAACTGGTTGTAGTTAAGAGGCTGGTCCCTGGGCTAGAAGGCTGATGAAGTGACCCAATATTGCAAATATTTCCATTCTGATAAGAGAGTCAAAGGGCCTTTTGACAAGGCAGAGGGTGCTTACAGTTTTCAAAGTAGAATCTATGGAAATCCAGCCCTTCCACCAGGTTCCCTAGAGCTTCTGGTTCAAAAGCTGTCATCCCAGGGTCACACATTTTCCTGGAAGAGCCCATGAAAGGACCAGGGTCAGGGTGGAGAGAGAAAAGGAAGTGAAATAACCTCATTGTCTAGTCACATGTCTTCATTCCTATGGATTTAACACCAATGAAGTTAACCTGACTATGCAATACAAATACATAATTTATTTCTCATAATATATTTTAATTTATTTCTCTTAGCTCTTAAGCATACCACTGTGCTCAGTGACACACTTCAATAGCTTCTCTGCTTCTTGGCCTGTGACCTTAAAGGACATGTTCTCAGTTTTGAAGAGTGAGGGGCTGCAATAATTTCCTAATGGATTGAAGAAATTGTCATTTTGGTGGCAGGTTAAAGGAAGCATCTGTAAAATCCTCCCGCAGGATGGACAAGCTTCATGTCCTGAGTGCCCTTTATTTGCCCCAGAGCTTTCCCCGCAAAAACTCGCTCTTTAAAGCTCAATCGGAGTAAATGGCAATCCATGAAAAATCTGAATTGACATTTGCTCTGATTTTGATGTGTTGGCAGGTGGGCTCTTTCTAGGCCCAGGTAAGTGTGAATAAACTCAGAGCAGTGCTGGCTCCCAATGTCTTTCCAAGCACAATCTGCAAGGCTGGTGTTAATAGCTCTGAATGGTTATGGTGTGTTTCATATTAGAGAACACTCCCTGCTCCTGTATGAGACCACCCACCAGTACATCAAAATCATCTGACAGGTCTCTGCTTTAACTTTCATCTTTGTCAGAGGCTAGAGGGAAAACAACAGTAAGTAGCGCCTTCATTATGGAACACTGTTTTCCTGAAGACTCACCACATCAGCTCATTTTTTATTTTTAGAAAGTTAGTTAAAAGACAAAAAAATCATTTTGTTCCAGTGGGATTTTGGGAGGGTCACTTTGTTGACTGTATGACCTGGCAGAGATTTTTATGTTTCATAAATCTACTAGGGAAGGTTCTCTGTTGACTCTTGCTTGCCACTGATTCGTTCTTGATTTGTTGTCTATATCTGTAATCTAATTGCTTCATATTGTTTGTATTAATTGTTGTTTTATGCCACGCTGCCAACTGCGTGGGGGACTTTATGGAGCCATCCTTGGGCAGATTCAAAACAAATCAATAAAATATATCCAGCCTTATTGAAGTTAGCAGAACATGCATCAGTTCCAGTGTGCTGGCATCCTGCCTTAGTAAACAGATGAGTTTCAACTGAGGTTTCAAATAGTATATTTAAAAATAAATAAATAGGTGAAAGGCACTCATTTAACCCATTACCCACAATGGAAATACTATTATAAATTATGGAGGTTAACTTTGGGTTCCTCATTATCTTGTTAAGCTTTAATGAGTTAGTGCTAACTATTTTGAAGTTATGCTGAGATGAGCGTAAAGTAAGATTCATTTAGGAATATGGGAAGCTGCCTTATACTGAGTCAGCCTATTGGTTTCTCTCTCAGCTCTCCCTGGGAAGGCCAGGGATTGAGCATGGAACTTTCTGCACAAAATGCAGAAGCTCCAGCACTGACCTGTGCTCCTTCCCATAATATTACCGTGCTAACTGGTTGATTCATAAAGATAGAAAGGGGTTTTGTTTACACGTTTGTTTTCAAACAGGCCCTTCTTGTAGACAGGAGAAAAACAAACTCAGCAGCCTCTACTCTTCATCAATAAACCCATGCTTCTTTGTTCTCTTAACCAGGAATCCAGGGCCTTTGCTTGCTCACTCAGCAGTAATAGCTGCGATTTATCCTTGGCCAGACTGCAAAATGAATCCATCCATTTTAATTTTGATGGGAGATAATAATGACAGAGTGGCTCGGTATGAACAGAAGAAACGGAAAACACAAGTTCTTGAAGTTCATTTCTAGCTGTGCTTTGAAAACCCATAAAAGAAAACCACTAATTTGCTTGCCTTCAGAGCAACCTGACATTTCAAAACTGTTTTTTCACAGTTAAGGCCATTTGAAGGATTTCCTGCTAACCCTCTTCCTCCATACTGGGCCAGCTCAGGAATATACTTCGCTCTCTTGTTAAAGTCAAGACACCCACTGGGCACACTCACGTGTAGGACTCAAAGTCCCCATTGCTTATTGCTTCAATCAGCTGCTCCGTCACCTTAATGATTTCCTGTTTTCGTACTGTTGGTTTAAGGGGGGGGGGAGAAGGGAGAGAAAATATTGAATGTAAATTAAGACAGTGAGAAAGGGCATTGTTAGAGCTGTGTGGATGTCACAGTGCTGTGAACCGCAGAAAGTGGTAGTGCACGTAGAACTCGACTTTCTAAAAATGCCTGCTTTCATTTTAAAAAGCACCTCAAGTTTCTAGTCCTTATTGCTGTGAAGATGTATTTGAAAATCTTTGGGGCAATGCCTTTCAAAATCTCAGCAGGCGGCCAAGAAGATCAGAGGTTGAGGATAGGGCTTCTTTGCTTCTGCCCTTCTCAGAACTACCAAAACTAGAAAACTGAATTGCTTGCATACAGAATTTAAATATTTTTATTTTTATTACATATAGACAGCCCTGAATAGTCTGGCAGAAGGGGAGGAATTTAAAGAAAGACTTACTAGATGGAGAGATTATAAAAACGGCTGGGAAAAGATACTCCTCCAGAATGAGGAAGATTTAGAAATCTTTGGTTCTGTTTCTACCTTTCAGTGGAAGGGCTGAGGGAAAGGCCAGCTCAGTATTTAGTGATTGCCTAGGCGGGGGTGAGGTCCATGCAGCCCTCCTGATGTCGCTGGACTAGAACGCCTGTCCATTTAGCCATGCAGGCTGGAGGTGGCAGATTAGTTCCCAGCCTCGGAAGAATCAACTACAGGGCAAGCCTTACCATAAACACCTCAGCTGTGGTGGTGCTTGGCAGGTGACACACAAGCAGCCTTCAGAGCCATTTACAGACATGGCTGGTGCTTTCCTGCCAGTCTGCACAGCTCTTTCAACACAGTGGCTGAAGCACAGAGAAGCAATTACACCAGGCTTAGGGAGGCAAGCTTTTGTTGCTCAGCTACATTACACCCCAGTAGGGAGAGGAACTGGCAGAGGAAACAAATGGAGCAGCAAAGAGACCCTGGCAGCGGGGGAAGGATAGTAAGAGGGGGTAGAATGAGAACAAAAGGCATCAGTGCAGACTAAGGACTGAGAAGAGGCGGAGGAGAGCGTTGTTACAAAATGGCACCTTTCTTGGCCAAAGAGCAGCTTGTTTTCACTTTTGGCCATGAGTGAGTGACTGCCACTTCATTTAAAAACAAACCTTGGCAGGGCAGGCTGCTTTCCTGGCACTCTGAGCAGCACTGTTAGAATAGCCGTGGTGGTATCTCCTTTTGCATGTGCAACTTTTTGCACCGTGGAGAGCACAGTCTTAGACTGTGGCCAGGGGGTGCGACAATCACATATGCAAACACGGCTCGCCAGTTTGTGGGAGCTTCCCACACCAGTAGCAGCGTCTTCTCTGGAGAGATGGCTCTGGTCACACCAGTCAGGAGACCCACACAGGTGCCAAGAGGGACCTGTTGTATTCAGAGGCCTGAGACTCTTAGTGGCCTAAAGCACAGCGAGGTTGTCCCCTTCTACTGGCCTGCTGTGTTTCAAGTTGCAGTTGCACACTACACACACCAGAAAGGGGGCCGGGGTGCCTTCACCTGATGTGTGTTACCTGTTTGGTTTCCCTGCCAAACTCCTGTGCGTTAAGTTGTCATCTGAGCATGTGCAATGGTGGTCTCAAATGTACACACCTCAACTTAACGGTGATTGTGGCTTATGTTTTCAGATCAGATGGAAGCTGTTGTGAGGGAAAACACACCAAACAGCAGGATTTCTTTAGAAACTACTGGTTGTTGTTGTTTTGTTATTATTAGTAGTAGTATTAGGATTAATTGCAGGATTAGTATTAATTGATATCAAGCATAAAATGTGTAAATGAATGACATGTTACAAGGTGCTCCCTTCTTCGGGCTTCAAGATATGTGAGGAGGCAACCTTTTCCTTCCTTTAAATTTCCAAAGGTTCAAAACATTGGTAAATATGTGATTTTGATCTCTGCACTGGGAAGCTGTTGTGGGGATGGCAGCTTGATGAGCTGAGAAATGCCAGATAGGGAAAGAATTAAGCACACAGTATCCCAAGCCACTGGCTTCTCTGCTCAAAGCCTTCCTCACACAAAAAAAGCCTTGCTCACAAACCTTTTCTTTTAAAAAATGGTGCTGGGACTCGTTACAGGTACTTGCATCTTACGTGCTGTTAGCCCCTACACCCTTGTGAACAAATGACTTGTCATGGGAGGCTGTGTGCCCCGATTATATGAGATTATTATTCCTGAAAGGCAGGCTTGAAGTAGTGGCTGTGAGGTTTACCTGGATCCCTGTGTCAGAATCTGTGTGGGTTGCTTGCAGCAACAAAATATGAACAGCCTCTTTGTGCCTCCCCCCCCCCCAAGGAATGAGAAAATGTGCCAAGTCAAGTTCCTCAGGTTTCTTTCACTGCCCTTCAAAAGATAGATGCTTTAAAGTTTGGAACAACAAACTTCTTTCAAAAACAAACACAGAGACCTCACCATTACCCTCCTTTTCACTTTAAAGAAGCCTTGAAGACAATACAAATTTTAGGATGATTCTTTTCTGTCCTCCTTCCTTACCTCTGCTTTTAGTTGGATCTGCAAGAGGGCTGAAATCTCTTAGAAATCCAGCAACACATTCAGGGAACTGGATCTTCCAAAAGACTGTGCCAAAGCATTCCAATGTGCTTATTAATAAGGCTAAAATATGGGTGTCCTGTGGGTAGATCTAATTCCCTATACTAAAGAGACAAAGTGGTTAATGATAAAATGCGCAGGGAAGCCTTTCCTCATCAGCAGTGTTTCTATCATTTCATATTAATTTGCCACACACACACACTCCTGCCTTTCCTGCGGGAGTTATTCCCAGAGAGACAAATTTTCAATTAACTTTAATGTCAGGCCAAAGTCCATCTCCACAGCAGATGAGTTCCTTTCATTTGGGGAGACTTTACAAATTAACACTGATTTCCCAAGCTATTATGGGAACGCTGTGGCCTTGTCAGGCAGTAAGAAAGAGGCCTCACTAAGGTTCTTCCCAAAGACTGGTTTAAAATGGTGACAGTGAAACTACTTCCCATAGAGACTCGGTGGAGAAGAGGAATGAAAAAGTCAGTGTTTGCCAAGTTGTTAGAAAAATCACAACACACTGCAAACTGAACCGAGGGAGAGCAAGGGATTTAAGTATCTAGGGCAGCCTTTTGCAAACTTGAGTCTCCAGATATTGCTGAACTTCAACTCTCATTAGCCCCTGCATGCATAGCAAATGGCCAAAGACGAGGCTGGGATTGAAAGGTGCATGACTGTTGAGTCCTTCGCATGCTGCCCTGCTAGCCCTATGCCACTTCGTGAGGCTGGAATCGCAAATCATTCAGATCTGATCCCAGCCTCGTCAGGGCAGGGCTGGCAGGAGGTGTGAAGAGCCAAATGTGCAGTGCTCCCCAGAAAAATGTGCCCAGGGTCATCGCCCTGGCAGCGCCCCCGTCCAACGCTATGTCCCTGAGTAGGTGTGGTGCAGTGGTATGTACAAATGAGGTCTAATTGCCTTGCTAATTCACAAATGGTAGTCACAACAGCGGTATTATTCTGTAGGAGAATTTTGCGCATTGCAAATAAATTGATACAGGACCACTTATCATGAAATTTGAGTCTTTTAGACGCATCACAGTAAATTTCTGCACACAGTTGATTTTTCTTTTACTTCACAAAATAAGTTTTAGATTGCAAATTCACGACAGAATAGTTTTGTGACAGCTGAACAGTTTTACTGACCAATCCTGGTCAGTGGGCTATAGAGTAAGGATGAAGTTTTCATTCATTGGATGAAATGAAATGGATGAAAAATAAAACTCTAAGCTTCAAATTTCATTTTAGTATTTGAACCTATATAGGCTGACAGCGAGAATTGCCTAGGGGTCCATAGTCTCACAACTCATGTTTACTGGAAGTCATTGACTAAAAAGGGTTTCCTTTTACCCCTTCCGCCACAGTCTTATACTATACCTTTGGTGTCTTCATCCTCAATGGTGGTGTTTGTGCTCTCTGAAGATTCCTGGAGAAAGAACGGAGAGGACAGAAGCAAAATAAGATGCACCCAAATGGCTTCCCCCCCCAGAAAACCGGTAACCCATCACCCAGGTTCTACCTCAACAGAACCAAACACTGCAAAGGGATGAAAACCAGGTAAGCATCAGATAAAAGCACTTGTCAGTAACCACAGATTTTGCTTTGTGACTGTAATACTTGTCTTGACTTTGAAACCAACTGAGCCGGAGGTCCGATTGTGAAGAATCTTGCAGGAGTGAATTCACTAGTATTCCACTGCACTACTATCAGGAGTGAGAGGCTTGACATCTCCTACAGCTACAGCTAGCAGGGGGCAAGAAGGGCTGTGTAGGAGTGAAAGACACCATGTTGACTACAGTTGGGAGAGGAATGTACAAATTAACAAGGAGAGGGAGCTAGGATGAGAGAGTGAGGGAGATTGTGCAGGAGTGAAAGAGACCACATTGACCGCATAGTAAAGAAAGAAATGTACACTCAAACAGAGAGGGCTGCCAAGAACCACATGGACCGCCAAAGGCTGACACACACCTCTTTCCATAAACAGCCAACTGGTACACAGATTAACACAGAGAAAGGGAACCATTTGCTTCTCATCAAGACAACTCTGGTAGCTGGACTGCAACCACCAGTTCATCCCACCAGAGACATATTGCAAACAATATTAAACAGCAGATTGACCAAGGCCGTGCCAGCCATTTGGTCTCCTGTGACCGAACAGTTCCAGCAAAGCCATATAAGATGGCCTTTCCTTCATGGCTGCTTGGACTGGTGCAGCTTGCAGATCTGCTAGAGGAGAAGTTCCATGGAGAACCTTTCGCTAGAAAATGGAATTAGGTTCTCAGTGCTCTTGGGCTTCAACTATCCTTCTGCTCCAGCCATTCCTGTTTAGAAGGATCCCCATAGGGGAGGATGCTGCTCTGAAGGAACTACTTTCAGCCCTGCTCTCCACACCTCAGAGTGATTCCCCAAAACAGGGAGGGCTGGAACATGTTGAGAGGCCCAACATTTTCAGCATTGAGGAAGACAAAGGACACTCACCATTAACTGAACGCTGGAACTGGACTTTCTTTTCTGGAAAAACAAGGAGAAGAGATAGGACAAGAAGAGACACAGAGTGAGAAAGAAGGAAGAGAGCAGAACATGGGACGCAGTGGGTCCTAGGACACCTTTTTGCGATCCTACTAGAAAGGTGAAGAGTTTGTGAATAAATCTGATGCTTAATGCCAAAGAGAAGTCAAAACTCTCACAATGCAAACCATGCCAATCTAACTTTCCAGCACAATTAACAAATCCATCAGCCTTGTCCACTATTCTATGTTTGGACCCGCAGATGTCTGCATCCCTATGAACCTTAACATCCTGACCCAGGGCAGGGCTCCACCTTAACATCTCTCCTGCCATTTTCTAATCCAATCCAACAAAAGATTTCCAAGCTGAAGAGGAATCATGTTTTGAGATCTGTAAATACTAGTCACCAAGCTAAAACTGCCACACCAACTTAGCTTGTGGACACAACAATATCTGAATACAGCCCTCGGCAAATGAAATGCTATACTTTTCCAACCCTCCTTGCCACTGTGACTTTGCATCATTCTACTTGTGGCAGCAAAAAGCTGGAGACATTAAATACTGGAATTGTTCACTTTGAATCCTAAAAGAATAAAGCCAGAAGAAATCTAAATGATCCTCTACTGCACCGAATGAGGATGGGCATTTTACATCTATAGCATCTCTGAAAGCCTTCATAGACAGTTACACTACTGCTGAACAGTCTTGTTATTCACTAATCTAAATCTGCATTCTCACTGTGATCGAAATTTGTTGCTTCTCATCCTGTCTTCAGTCATCACCCTTCTAAGGTCATGTCTGCACATCATTTTGGCATGATAATTCAGGTACCAGTAAAGCACTTAAAAGTCTTCACTATCCACACTAAGATGCAAGCATCTTGCCATTTGCAATGGTTATGAGACAATATCAGTGTTTGTTTGGAACAGCCCAGTTATAATGCTGTACATTGCACCAAATCAGAGTGGGGGTTGTTTAGGTGGGATGTGAATACCGATATCAGAGCTAGGAGAGGCTTGCTAGGGCATGAAAAATACAAATGAAGTAGATGATGGTCAAACTTTGAGCCAAGTGACGCCCTTTTTCTAGATTTGTTCAAGTGCAGCAACAAGTATCTGGGTGAGAAGAAACAGAACAGTGTGCAGGAATGTGCTATCACATAGCTTTCACCAGGGATTTCTTTTAAAAGTGTGATAAAACCTTGAGAGAATGACTGAAACCACAGGCAAACTGCAATGTTTACATGGACTACGACTGCAGTTTTTAGGAGTGGAAAGTCTGATTCATATAATCCCAGCATTGTACCAAAGGTGGTAAATCAACACAATGCCAAATGGTGGAAGTGAGTTTATTTGCATTGCAGACATGACCTAAGAAGCTCCTTCTACGCCTCAAAGTAGTACTGAACAGCTCACAGAAGAAATCCTGCAAATAATTCAAGATTTAAGACTTTTGTCTTTTGATTCTTGATGAGCTTCTCTCAACACAGCGCTTTAATGTACATCAAAAGAGAGGCACATCATGTCAGATTCCTAATTATCACTCAAAAGAGTCTTGAATAAGTTCTCTATTTGCTACCCCACAAATCCATTCTTGGCTTCTTATTGCCTTCTCCACACTACTTCTTTCTGTCCTGTAGATGAAACTTGGAAAATGGATCTAGATGAAATCCAGAAAATGCAGCATCTAAACAGGCTCACCATAGGCATAGTGTAGAAGCCTCCATCCTAACCTTCTTCACTATTATTTATTTTAAAAGGTATCAAAACTGCATATATCTGGTGGGATGAAATGCGTTCTATGAGCTACAGTAGAAAGAGCCCATTGGCACTTGGCGATTCTGACTGCTTTATTTCATCATATGATATCCTCAGCTAGCCCTCTACAGCTTCTTCTCCAAAGCCAACCAAAAGACAGACTCTACTACAACTCTTAGATTTGGTACTTAAGCTATATATGATGAAGGTAGCTAGGCTCAGATGCATGGTGGCTCCAATGAGAACATACCAAGAACCAAGAACTATCTAGGAAACCTTACTGGACGGTAACTGTAGAAGCAATTGACGCAACATGACGCAACACAAAAGTGGTGACCTTATTAAAGTAGGACGTACATACAATAAAAGGATGCAACACAGGGCAGTGACTTTATTAATTTAGGATGTAACAGGATGTGACATGGGGCAGTGATTGCATTAATTAACAATGTAACAGGATGTGACACAGGGCAGTGAACTTGTTGAGTATCCACTGGTTACAAGAGGGGCAAAGCCTCTTCTCTCAATAAACTATTGGTGAAAGGGGTCCGTCGTCCTTTCTACTCTCCATGGATAGCATGTTTGCAGAGGTGGCACATAAATATCTACTTTTTCACTAAAAGGTGTAGCCAAAGTAGGGGGCAATATCCTTTCTGCAATGGGGGATGTTGCCATTACCATGTTACTTCAAACACAGTAGGTAGGTTCTTTCTGTTAGCATGAACTGGTTAAACCAGAGAGTTTCATCAGAAAGGCAAGCTAACCATGAGATCGTGAACTAGACCCCACAATTTGTGGTGCCAACAGCCATCTCCTTCTACAGAGGGGGATATCAAAACCAAACAAGGTGAGGGGGAAGGAGAATCTGCAGCCAAGCCAATTTGACAATTAAGCCAAGTGGGATTCCACTGCTGGAATTGAGGTCTGTCCATCTGGGGTATTTCTGAAAGGAAATGGGGGTGAGATGACAGTGCCAGGAGTGGCTGTTAGCATAGGAAATAGGCAGATGGGCAAGCGTAAGTGTATCTCTTGGCCAAGGAACACTGCTGTCAGAATCTTCTTCATTATTTGAAGAAACCTTTGCCACATCCTCAGATAGTCACCGAGTCTCAATTTGGCACTGTGGAAAGAGATGCCAGGCACCTGTCCAGAATACTCCAGTTTGGTTTCCAGAAAAGAAAATCATTATAATATCAGCACAAAGCCATTCTTTCAAACGCTAGCATTCAAACTTCACAAATATTTCAGAGCTGGAATGGGTGATGTCACTGGAATGAGCAAACCTGTTCATCCATTAATCTGCATCTCTGCCAAATCAATGAACCAGGTTTCAAGGCATGACATGAGTGCTGCAAACCCAAAGGGACCAATGTAGAATCAAAAACCTGGAGGAGGCGAGTGTGTGTGTGTGTGTGTGTGTGTGTGTGTGTGTGTGTGTGTTGGGGAGGATTTCTCGTGTCCCTAGTTCTGTTTTCAGTTTTAACCCCTTCTCCCCTCCTTTTGGGTTGATGACAGAAACATCTATATTTTCTCATTCCTCCCAGGTTTTCAGTTGAGCAGAAGATAGTTCATCAGGCCACCATGGGAGACTCAGACTCAAATAAAACAGCAATGACCTATCTGAAAAGAAAAGGTGGCAGCTGGGCCCCTCGCCACTGCTCAGAGGCTCAGTCTAAACTGATGTCCACAGGAGCCAATCAAAGAAAGAGTCCTCCTTGCTCCCACTCCCCATCCCATCTCCCTCTCTTCCATATTAAGTGTCTTTCAGTTTGTCTTACCTGTCACAGCCCCCTTTACAGTATTAAGAAATGCCCTAGAGCCAATTCAAATTGTTGGGCAGGGGGATGTGGTAAAGCTCTCTTGGCCGATCCATAACACCTCCAAATTCACTCGGGTGTTGATTTGTTTGGAAGTGCTTCCGTGTCAAGATATTCCTTCACACAGAGATGACAAGCCAGGAAGAAGGCCTGCCTGATTTCTGAGGCACACTGTGGCATAATTCACTCCCACACAAGGACCAGAGGAGCATCAACCTCCAGATTTCTGAATCAGTTGGACTTGTGAGTTGCTGTCCTCTTGTGGGGCTGTTTCACCATGGCCTCCAAACATTTGGATTGGCTCTATTTCCCCGAAATGACCGTAGCATAGTAACAGTAAGACGGTAGGAGAAAGGCACAAGCTTTTTTCCTCCTCTTTATGAAAAGAAAGCAGGAATGGGAAGAGATTATGAGGATATGAGTTAGCCAAGCAAATTGAACATGAGTCAAGGCATCCATTACTCTAAGCAGCAAACTTTGCTTAGGTAAAGGTATTTGCTTTTCCTTTTTTGCTTTCAGAATGTGGAAATGTATTTCATGATGAGAAGAGGATGGTGCAAGAGATCCACTAATGCAAGGCCTTAACACAAAGGGCCTGGGCCACGCAGGGACCCATGACCACACAGTCCACCAGCCCAAACATTCCTGCCTTCTTGAGTACAGGCAAGCTGGTGGCTCTATGAGCCCAGGACTTACCTTGACGCCATCGTTCTTCTTGTTGCCACCACTTTTCCCTCCTGTGGAGAAAAAGTACCACGTCAAGAGGAACAGGCATGGTATCAGGGTCAGCACACTGAGAACCAGCAACATGGGGGGAGTTGTGTGAGAGCAGCAGAACGCAGGAACCGAAGATCACAGATTCAATTCCACCGCTTCCTCTGCTGGTAGCGAACTTGCTTTGCAATGATCCAGAGTTCTGGAGGAAGTCTCTTTCAGAAAACTATGCAGCCCACCAGCTGGATTACTGGGATCCTTCCCCGTGAAAAGCCACAGCCACTTGTACTCTCGGACTCCCAAATCTTTGAAGGAACCAGCAGAATGGCCAGCGACGGAGAGAGAAGGGAGCGGACAGAGCATTCTCTGACACTTGTTTCCTTCCTGAGAGGGCTCAAGGATCCTTCAACATGGCTTACAGGGATTCAGTCCTGCCCTGTGCCATCACCCTCACCTCCTGGGCTTGCCTGCCCTGTTTCGCGGTCTCAGATATGAACGCTAATGGCTCAACTATGATAAGATCAGCGTGCAATTGCCTGCCTGCCTGCCTTTCTCACACTCTGCCTCTTTCGCTAATTTTAGACCCCCATGCTGGTGGGGTCATGTGCTACAATTATGACATCCTGACAGCTGCAGCCCACATTTTGACAATGATGAAAAGCAGACATCTTCCCCCATGCCTCCCTCCCCCATGACTATCCCAGAGCCAGCCTCGTCTCCTGGGACTGCAGCCCACTCATAATCCCTCCCTCTTCCCTCTGTTGCCTTCAAATAGATTCTGAATGCATAAAACACACAGATATGAAGCATGGCATAAGCACGCTTGGCCTGACTGCAGCTTCTGAGCAAAAGATGACCCGGATAACCCTACCGTCAGTAGCAATCACTACTCTGGTTTTGGGCGGGGGGAACACACATCTGAACATGGAGGACAGAAAACTAAATAAAGGATCAAGATTTGAATTCCCTGATTTGAATTTCAGTGGTGAACCCTTATCACTTTTAGAGCAGTCTCAGCTGATTAGCTCTCCTCCACCTCCACATTTTTTTAAAGACAAACTTCCTAAGAGTGTCATGGTAGACAATCAACCCTAATTTCCTAGATTTTTCTTCAGTGATTTAATTATGTCCCCATTTGACCTTGTTTACTCCATTCAATAAGCAACCAGCCTGCATTAGCTAAGCATCTTATGTTATCTTTCCCTACAGTTTAGCATTTATTTATTTAAATTCTATCCAGCCCTTTCCCCCTTCGTCCAAGTGCTCATTGTGGCTAAGTGTTTCAGCTTATAGTATGCAGCCCCGTGCATAGTTTGTCACATGTGTATATTGCACAGGTGTACTTCACTACAGTGCATGCTGTAGGAAGTCACAACCAATTGTGGTTTCACACTGCATGTACTCCATGTTGGAACACCAAATATTTGTTTATTATCAGCTGTGATTGTGTACATACAGATGGCACATTATTTCCTACATGAAGCAGGAATGAGGAACCTTTTTCAGCTGGAGGGCCACATTTCCCTTTTGAACATGTTTCTGGGGCCACATGCCACACTACTTCTAATAATTTGGCCACATATTAAATGTAATCACAAACAATTGTCCCCCTACATTTTCCAAGGAGCTAGTTTTTGCCATGTTTCAATAAAAATCTCAGCAGATGGAAGTCATCCTTGGAAGTTCCTCATGAAGTGCTTCTTGGAAAAGCCTCTTCAAATTCTGCCTACCTCAAATTAAAATTAAAAAAAAACAGCTTAGAAGAGGCTTTTCCTGAACTCTGGCCTTTTGAGGACACTTCTAAGCAATTCCTGTGTGCTGGAAAGGAACCTTCAACCTATCTAGTTCCTGTGTTCCAAAGAGGCAATCACAATTTTGTAATCCTTCTCCCCTAATATCCCCCCTCTCCCCATACGGTATATTTCGGGTGGAGCTGCACGTCCACACAATAGCTGCCTCTCCAGAGTACAAGATTAAATCTTGCCCCCGCCTTTTTTGGGTCATCCATAATTTAAAGCAAATGTAAAATCCTGCCAAATCAAGGTGATGTTGCAAATCTTCTGTTGTGTGAAGGGAAGAGGATTGGCAGCTGCACTGATCCACTGATGGCAGCCTTTCCAGCAGTGTGTCACAAAGCATTTTAGGAATGATTAGTTGTGCTTTGTCACTTCTTTGTGATCTTTGGGTAAACGATTAATAACTATTTATGAATGTGACGTGAGAAAAGCCACAAGTCAGTGCCTGAGTTAAGGACTGATATCAGCTTTCTGCCGTAGACAACTAAGCCACAATCCAGCACAGAGTCGGGCACACTTAAGCCTCTTGAAAGAAGTAAGTTGTGCAGTACTGCACAACCGTACATGTCTCAATAGGACTTACTCCCCACCTCCCCAGATATCTGTGCATAGGACTGCAGCTTAAATGCACCTAACTGCGATCAATTGTAGTCCTGGTTGTGTATAATTACCTCCAAACTGTGAGCTTTTCACTTTGAGTAGTTATCACAGCGTGGAACCAGGGGAGGGAAGGAAAGAGGGGAAGCTTAGTGGAGGTTTGTGTGTGTGTGTGTGTGTGTGTGTAAAAAGCTGAACTGTAGAGTGGGAGGTCCTATGCATAAGAAGAAGTTTTCTTTCTCTTTCAAAATTACGAAGTGCTCACTTTTAAGTAGTAAACACACCTCAATACCTCCCACCCGTGGAGTGGAAGAATGCATGAATCTTATTAAGCCATATAGTAAATCCTTGTCAACTCTGTAGCATCTCTAACATACATTCTTTCCACGTTCAAACTGTGCTGCTTGGAGACCTTTGGAAACAGGGCTGGGGTTGGAAGCCTGTGATTTTCCAGATCTTGTTGGACCCCAGGTTTCATCAGCTGCAGCCAACATGGCCAATGATCGGAGGTCCAGCAACATCTGAGGGCCACAAGTTCCTGAAATAAGTAATATGTGAGCTATGTCTGGACACCAAACGTTTGAGTCATACTCCAGGAATAGGTCTACAAGACATCGAGTGCTTTCTTTCCAGGCTGCCACGACAAGGAAAGCCTTGCTGAGCTAGATGCCTAGTGAAATGAAAGGAGGCTGTGCACAGAAACAAATCTTGGACGAATTCCTGACATAGCAGACAGCGACAATGCATGTCGTGAATATTTAGGGAATTTAAAAATGATCGTTTATACATCAGTACTCCCTGCCACTAGCAAACTAAATTATTTTACCAAGGCACTTGATCTATGCTGCAAATCTATGCATGCTTTCTTCTAAGTGAGTAAGCACCATTAAACCCCGTTTACTTCTGAGAAGCAATGCATAGGAACACACAGATAGTTATTCTGTGCCACTTTCCCAAGCATAACCGATAACAGGGCTGGAGCCCAAACTTAGAGGCAGGCTGCTGGTGCATTTATCAAGTCCATTTGTCAAGCTTCTTTTCCTAAAATGTAAAACCAATAGGATGGTGAAATCTGGGGAATGTTATAGAATAGGAACATGGTGCAAACAGACCAACCCAAATATCCAAAAGGTTTTGGTGTATTGGGGGGACGGACCTTAAGTTGTGCTGGTTTATACCAGGGATGAGAAACCCTGCCTACTGCCCCCAGGGACTCATGTGGTGGTGTGGGTAAGTGGTCAGGTGCTGCATGCCAGTTGGCATGGCTGGCACAAGCAGTGAGGGCACATGTGATTGACAAGCTGCAGGTTGGCTGCCTGTGATTTACCTAGTAATAAACCCCCTGAGTATTAGCAGTGTGTCAGTATGAAAAATGAGAGTACAGTATCAGTTCAACCACATCCAGTCTTTGCAATGCCCTATTCCCCTGACTGCACCGCAACCAGGAAGACCCAAACATCATATTAAAATGCAAGCTATCTCCAAAGCATGTGATCTTCATTAGTAAATCCAAAGTCAACAACCCTGGATTTTTAAGCATAAGTCAAAACATCCTTATAGGATTTCACTGCAGTCCCAGTATCTTGCTTTCCAAATTGTATCTGCTTGTGCTGAAAGTAGCAACCTGCAGGGAAGCTGCAGAAATGCTAGAATTTCAAGACAACCAATAGGCAGTTTTGTCTACTGAGTAAAATCCAGTAAATGGATTTATGCATTGAACAAGTCTGGGACATACAAATTGACCTTCATTAATGCCAAACCAACAAGGGTCAGAATTTAAAATGCTTCTCCACTTTTCTTTCTTTCCTGCATTAATGTTTAGCCGCAGGTAGAAATGGCAGAAGAATTCCAAAATGCTATCATAGCAGGGGTGGGGAACCTCTGACGATGCAGTTGCTGTTGAACCACAACTCCCATCATCCCTGACCATTGGCCATGCTGTTTGGGGGCTGATGGAAACTGGAGTCCTTCAGGATCGGAGGTTCCCCACCCCTGCTTTAGAGCCATGCATGAAAATGCCCTGTGCCCAGTCTTTTCCAATGAGAGCCAGGGTTTGGGGAGCCTGTCACACTGGCCAGTCATATTAAGCACATATGACTAGCATCCAACATATGAAGAGGCAGCAAGTCAATACTGTCCTGGCGAGAGTTGGGTTACCTACCAGAAAAATTCCGGGTTGCTAGCATTGTAGTGAGGATTGCACCCTGAAATACACAAAAGACAAAAAGAAAACGGGGAAGCAAGAAACATCACTGGGTTCAGAATCAGACCCATCCCTTCCCCCAACCCTAGTCTCCTTCCTCTTAAAGGCATCTAGTGGAAAATGGAGCTGCTGGGGCTCCAAGAGGGATGGCTCTTTGGCATGGTTCCAGGGGTATGATGAACATACTTCGGAGGTGGTATTAATAGATATAGCTAACTGTTTGCAGAAAACAAGTCACTGGATAGTGGCTCAGGGATTTTTAACTACTCTGCAAGTTTCTCAATGATGGCAGCAGGGGTTTATTATAACCACCTTATAGAGACTCAGTATCCTTTCTTGCAGTCTTAATGGGATTTCATCCTCGGATGAACAAGCAACCTCCACGCTCTGATGAGACCAGGACAACTGACAAGTTTCTAGCAGTCACTGATGAGGAATTCCCATTGCGTCTCGAGGGGAACTCCCCATAGAAGCTGCAGTAGCAGCTAGACTCTACTAGACACATCAGCAAACTACATGGTACTCCCAAACTTGATATATTGTGAAATTTAAAAATACTGGACATTTAGAGACAGATCTATATATGTGGCATGGTTTGTTTGTTTTAAAAAAGCAATTCAATTTTAGCACCTGATAATAAAATCTACCACAGCTATCACTATTTCTACTACTATTACTACACATATCTGTTCTCACATAGCATATTGTCCCATAGAAGTCAAAGAGCAGATTGGTCTCCTCACATCCATTTTATAGATGGGAAGACTATGGTACAGTACTGAAGTAACATCTTCAGAGCCATTCTCTGCAAGTTAATAAAAGAACTGGTTATAGATCCCTGCTCTCCTTTGCCAAGCATTTAACACCGACTATCTGTCAGTTACGACTGCCTGTTTTCTTACTGGAAAAGAAAACACCTCACAAAAGGAAGGGGCAGTACTGTGCATAAAACTGTTTCTACTTTGTCAAAGAAAAACAGGATGTAGACACACATATTGCCTCTGGATAAAGATGCCGAGCTGTACCCGGACATTCTCTGTCCGCTAGCACAAGAGCTCTTGTTGTACTAAGGTGCAGGTGAGTTTTAATGTTGCGCAACAGTTAAATCCTGTGCAACAGCTGAGCTAGTGAAAACTTGTTGTGCAGCGGATTGTTCAACCTGTGCATCAAAGTTACAAGCAACCTGCTAATGCCTTCTCTTCCACAACAATGTTCTGCAGTTGGAAAACATTTCACCAGTGGAACAAGTGTACCACTAGGGGACTAGAAAGCACCACACCAGATACACCCTGCATGATGAAACTTAGCATTTACTCCCACTGGTTGCACAGGACTCAAAACTTCCATCCAAATATAACTTTCCAAGAGGGAAAGTGAAAAAGGTCAACTGGGCTATGCCTCTTTGATACTCTTGGTCTCTCTCCTCATTTTTGTGGGTGGGTGCGGACACACAGAGCATTTCTCAATTTCCCAATCAATTTCATAAGCTAGTAAGAGGACATGTATAATAGGATTACATTAACATAATTGAAGCAGTAACAGATTACTGGAGGAAAAGTAAACACAAATCATTATCTGTTTCCTTGCTCAGTAATCTTATTAGCCTCCAGCCCTGAGGCTGGAAACTTGCACAGCATTCAAAGGAAGAATAACAGCATGTGAAAATATCCAACAAGGCCTCGGTGGAAGGTGCTGATGATAGCACTGGTGGCAATAAACTTCTTAGCCGATACTGAACTTTCCCCCTGGGCATAGGGCTGGCGGACAGTGATTTGAAAATGGTGAATTTGGGCACTGATCCCAATTTCATTGTCTTGAAGGACGTTCCATGGAAATCAATGGAAGTGCCCTTAAGGAATTCAGATTCAGTGATTCCTAGGAAGCAACTTCAGTTTGTCCTAGAATCCTTTAAAAAAAGGGTTTGGTCTAATCAGTGTTCACTTTTCAGGAATTATTTTAGTGGACTTTATCAAAGAGCAGAGTCCTTGACATGCCAAGAAATGGTGACACTGCAGGCACTGCCGGCTCGAGTGAGCCTGAAATGGGTTGTCCCTTCTGCAGACACTAGCATCTAGTTATACAACAACAATCAATGGGGGCAGCGGGGAGCCACTGCTCTACTTTATCCTTTGTCATTCAGTGCATACGACCCGAAGACTTAATTAAGATATCTAGGAAGGCCTTTCCTTTCTCAGCGCAAAGGTGGCCATTCTGAAAGCCAATTTCTTGGAAGCCTCACAGCTTTCTTGGAAAGTCAATTCTTTGGAAACCTTTATAAACACAGGAAGGCAGATGAAATGGAAAACAGTCTGGTGATGTACACCCATTTCCTAGAAGACCACCTACAAGTCAGAGAAGAGGCATGGATTACCTTTAGCTTCCTTCTGGCATTGAACTTCTTCAAGCAGTCCACAGTCTCCTGCCTGTGCATGCAAGATGCCACGGTGGAACGGTGCTGTAAGGCAAAAAGAAAGTTGCTCAGAAATGGAAGGGAATAGAAAATAGAGAGGTCTCCCCCTCCACACACCCTGCCTTTTTTTTTTTTTAAAGCAACCTGGCTTCTTTTACTTGTGGTATTCCTTGGTTTGCGTGAACCCATGTGTCCTAATCAGAACTTGTTCCCTGCCCACTGTAACCAGGTAAGATCAGTAAAATCTTTTGGGGGGCCTGTATTTGGAGACTTCAGCCTTTGTGCCGTGGGTTAGCCTAGATAACTCTCAGCTTCTTACACCTTTGTGCAGGATGGTTATTTCATGGCTACACATACAAGTCTGAACTCTGCACCATCTCTGTGTCTCTTGAATGTGCACTCATATATTAGGCATATGTTTGAATTCTCCAAGCAGTAGCAAATAAAACTTTAATGGTTTGTGTAAACTAGTTTTCTTGCTTATTCATTTGTTCCTTCTTTTGCTACACCAGAGATTCTGGAGATGGTTCATTAGGTTGATGGTGGCTTAGGTAACCCTCCCCAGTCTGATTCCCTTATGCACTGATGGCTCAGACTATTGTCCTTTTCGAGCACAACGGACATTCAAAGCAAAGACCTGAATATAAATGTTCCAGCCCCTTGGGAAGGAAACCCATAGTTTACCAATCTATGTAGTTGTGGCAGCAACACTTGCTAGACAGAAGTACACAAGTAAAAAATATTCCAGGAAACTGAGGATATTGCTTTAATGATAAGCAGTGGGGTTTGGGGAAATCATCCTATATAGGCTCCCTGGTTCTGAGTGGATGAGAGCTAGAGTTATTTCTTTTTATTAAAAATAAACTTGTCAAAGTCCTCTGTAACAGTTTTATTCCAAGAGCACAGCTGAGTTACAATACGGGCTGTGGAAATAGTAAAAGTACATCTCAAACTGTTATTTCTATAGATCAGAATGACTAGGTCTGGTGGAAAACAGAAAAAGTGATTTTAAAAATTATGTGCTTTGCGCTCCTCTGAAGCTGTTTTTTTTCCTGGGAGCCCATCTTGATTGCTATAAGTGGACTGCATGAACACAGACACTTAATAAGTGCCATCAGCAAATGGTTCAGTGTTTTTTTGGAGCCACATAACCAGTTTGCCCATAATAAGCACATACCTATGGCATGTACCTCATGTGATACAATGCTTATTAATCAGCATGCGAACAAATGATTACTCTGCTGTGCGTGTGCTACATAACTGAAATGTATTTTGTCCCACTGAGACCCTCTAAAAAAACTGCTTTTCATCCAGACAATCCTCAGGATCTGGGCAGTTGCACTTACTGATATCCATGGGTGCTTCAGAGCTTCAGCTGCTGTGATACGTTTGGATGGGTTGATCGTCAACATTTTATTGATGAGATCTTTTGCTTCAGGAGTGACAGTATCCCACTCGGGAGAAGGAAACTGTAAGAGCAAAGGGACAGCACTACTCATAACAATATGATCAGGAGCTCCCCCTCCTTTTTTGCATCATGCAGTTTGGCCTATTTGCACACTCTCTTTTTCACACGATACAATAATGCGGATTTGAGATAGGGAAGGGATAAAAGCATCCATTTTTGTAGGAAATGGTCTCTGACATGCACAGGGTACTGTAAGAGTTTGTTAATATTGTTACCACTGATTTCCACCCAGCAGCTTTTCTTAAAACAAAACAAAAAAACCTGTTTCACATGGCCAACATGAAGGCTGGGTGCATTTCTTGCTAATCACAGTCAATACAAGGCAGTAAACATAGCACAGAATGACCACTGGGTGGGGGCCAGGTGCTGAAAATGCTCTGCCAAACCCTGTTCTCTGCTGAATTGCCATCCATCTGCAGGTGTGCTAGCTTGTTAACACACACAGCAAAAAATAAAAACATCCACGGAGCAGCCCTGTTGCATGGCCCATTTGGCCTTGGTGTGCACTGAGGGGAAGCCATAAGGCCTTGCCCTTGATCTGTCACAGAGTAGGGTGGAAGAGGTTGGCAGCTAGACACTATCAGTACCTTGACCAGTATCTTTTTGGTGTGGATTTTCACAACTGAACTTTGTAAACTTTTATTTCCTACGTTCATCCACTTGGTGGGTAAAGCTGGAGGAGAGCCAGGTGTGTGGCTGCAATTTGCATGTTCATTCTAGGTCGCCCCATTTGCCACCTGGCCCAGATCCACTTTCTTTGTTCCCTTAATGGCCCATCACCCAGGCGATTGCCTCTCCTGGAAGCTAGCCTGACTATTCCAAGAATTAGAAGGAGGGGGGCAGGTATTAGAAAGGGCTAGGCATACAACCTACTCCCCCTACAAAACTCACAACACTATCAAAAGCCCTGCATGCCTTGGGATCAGGTACCTGAGGAAAACCTGTTCCTACATAAGCTTGCCTGCGCATTGAGGTCAGCAAGAGTGTTCCTGAAGTGAGGGAAGTTGCAACCAAAAAAGGGATATTTTAATTGTCACTTAGTTATGGAAATCCTTTCCCCAGAGACTCTCACCTGGCTATCTTTTCAACAACAGGAAAATACCTTTTTATTCTCCCAAGCTTTTTAAGCTTTGAGTTTTAACCATTTAAACCTCTGCTTTTATTTATTAGGGGGGGGCTGTGCTTCAATTGGCCTTTTTTGATTTCTTTCTTTCTTTTACTGTTGTAAACCAATTGCTTAAAGGGTCATATACAAACCCATGAAATAAATAGATACAAGTTATTTCCTTTAAAAAAAGAAAAAGAAATATCCGCACTTAGCTCACTATATTTTTTTCCTCACAACCATCTTGTGAGGTAGGTTAGGCCAAGAGACTGAGACTGGCCCAAGTTCACTCAGGGAGCATCACAGGTGAATAGGGATTTGAGTCCAGGTCTCAGAGTCCAACCTACTAACCACTTCACCACACTGGTTCTCAAATAAGCTTTCAGACCTGGTGCTCTGTCTCTCTGTGTGTACAAAACAAAGCGGGAGTTGAGAACTCTTCAAAGAAATGATGGCATGTGAGAAAGGAAGAGAAAACAATGAAGGGATTTGGGGGTGGAATCACTTACATCATAGGCTCCAGCTTTGATCTGCTGGTATAGTCGATGTTGATCCTCATCCCAGAAAGGAGGATAGCCAACCAGCAGAATATACAGAATAACTCCTGTGTGAGACAGGGACAGGCATCGTTATGTAAGCTCCAGCCACACACAGGTGGGAAAAGGGGTTAGTTCAGTGACTCAGAAGCCTGGAGCAGCAGGCCTACACTGTCTGTGAGACTCAAAACTGAAGAGGATGTGAAAAGGCTCCTTCTTGTCTAAATTGTCAATGATAAGTAGGAGCATTTTTATAGTTCAGGCTGAGTCGTCAGTTAGCATCAGAACCTGCCTGACAGGGGGCACTAACAAATGACCAGCTCATTGAGCAACTGGCTATTTAATTAGCTTTCACTCATAGGTAGGTTAGAGTCAAAGCAAGTGTTAACACACATTTTTCAGTGTGTTTCCCTGTCACTTTCCTTACTGCAAAAAATCCTATGCTTTGAGGAAGCCATTTCTTGTCCAGTTGTTATCTGAGGGAAGCACCCTCTGTCCCAAACAAAGAAATCACTTGCCACTTAATTGTCAGATACCCTGAATCCAGTTAGTAAAAAGTATCTTGTCAAGTGTCCAGAACAGCATCCATTCTAGCTAAGTAACAACATCCAGGAACCGCAACACTGCAGTCTGCTCTGTGGGCTTGTTTAAGCCCAGTCTTTCCCCCATATCAGTTCATACAGCTGAACTTGGGTGGGAGAAGGAAGAATTCCTATTTCTCACCTACCATTTCTACCTGTTCTCTTACACACTATCAGGTCCCTATGTCTGATCTCAGACACCCAAAACACTGTCTGAGGTTTATTATTTTGAATAAATTTCTTTATCAACAACACACATCACAACTCCCCCTCTCTTTCTGTACGGCATATATGCTGCCCAGGAAATTTTCTTCCACTCTAATAGGTTTTTTGTATATAGGAATTGAACTTTGAACATCTGGGAATGCCTTGGCAAACTTTTGCAAGGATTGGCACCGTTATGCATGCTAGCAGCAGTAATGCAACATTCAGACACATCAGACCCTGCTCAAAGATTCTTTTGGAATGAAAATGTAACATCAGGTGTATGTTCCTCATCTGTTTCCTACAACATTCTGCAACCCAACACAGGAAAAACTGTTCCTTCCATGTGTGTGCTGTGAAAATGAGGCTGAAGGTAAAATGTTTAATTAAGTGAGTCACTGATGCATCAACATGCCAAATAGGCAACATACACATACAATCTGGCCTCATGAGAAGGCTTGTCCTTTTTTGAAAGCACTATCTGATTAAAAAAAATAATCACTGAACTTGTGTGATGAGCAACATATTACTGTTGAGACTCATAGAAACTGCCTGAGACTCCACTTAAGACTTATTCTTCAGAAGTGGCGCTGCTGAGGGGATGACTGCATGTTAAGTCATTACACCAGGACACAGTTTCAGTTCCTACCATTCAGAAGATCTTTGTTGTTCATTATTCACATCAATTTTTTAAAAAACAACAACACATGCCATAGGAAGCCAGGTGTTTTGCCAGAAAGGAACACATTCCATCTGAAATAGCACCCATTCATAAAGTTTAATTCAGGCCACCTGCGTTCGCTTTCTGCTCTACTGTAACTACTTGTTTGGGTTACACAAGTGATTTAGGCTTACTATGTTTCCTTTTCTCATTGTACAATATGGATAAGAGCTCTTCCCTGAGTCCCAAAAGAATGATGAGGATAAATAGATTAATGAATGAGAGACTCCTTGATGCTATGGTGATGGGGGAATATAATGGACTCTCCAAGTTAACAAGCATCCAGAAACACAATTTTTAATCTCCAAATTGCTCTTGTGGAAGTTACTCTCTGGTGAATGCTAATCCCATAAATCCATAAACTTTGTAGCATAATGCTTCCTGGCTGCTAAAAGCTCATTCAGCTAGCTAGCCATTCCTCCCATAGGTCATAGGAGTAGGGTTTTGGTTGTAAGATTTTCAGCCCATCGCTTACAAAACATTTATATGGTTTCCTCTAGTACACATGATTGTGGAGTGACAGATTCATACATGAGTTTGTCATATTGACCAGAACAACTTTGCTATTTTTACTAAGGGCTTTAAGGACAACAACCCATCAGAGGGAGCGCTGAAGTGGGGAGGGAGCCATGCCTGTGCTTTTACAACTGCATTCAAATATGCAGCATAAAATATTTCCCTTCAAAGAGCTTCCCTTATTTTATCATCACAACTATCCTGTGAGCTAGGCTATGTGGAGAGACGGTGACTGCTCTAAGGTCACACAGCACTCTAGCCATTGAACCACACTGGCTCACATGGGGGTAAAGAATTCTGGCTTTCCATTTGAGCCACGGCAGAGGATGACAATGAATGCTCACATCCTCTTTCATGATGTGCTACAAAAATTCTGTTTCCTGTAGAGTTTATCAGTCCACTGACACTAGTTCACACAGCAGCACTGACATATCTCAGAGGTAACCAAGCCCTGTGAACAAGCTAGGGACTGCACACAGTATGAAAGATGGTGAGAGAATCACAGCGGCCTCCATCTCATTCCTTAAAGTTTTATTTTGCCTGCTTAGTCACTTTCGAAACATAACCTCACTTACCACATGCCCACAAGTCCACAGCTTTGCCGTAGGGGTCCTTTCGGAGCACCTCGGGCGAAAGGTAGCCTGGAGTACCTGCAAAACCTAGTAAGGCAAAGAGTTACAATATGCAGTTAGTTACACATCATGGGGTCCAGTGAAGTCTGCAGCAAAAAGCACAAGGCAGCTATCAGTCGAATGGGAAAAGAGAATTGCTCTCTAATATTCCCACCAAACCTGGTGTTTGTTCGGCACTGGATACATGCTATCCTGGAGCAGCTTTGCTGAAAATCACTCCTAACATCTCTGATTCAAGTCTTCCTGTGCTTGTAGAGCTAGTGCCACAACCTCACTGCCCATCCACAAGAGAAAAGTGCAGGTAGTCTTGTGGTAACTTGATATTGGTTTCCGGGCCCAATTCAAAGTGCTGGTTTTGACCTCTAAAGACTTAAACGGCTCAGGACTGCAATACCTCAAGGACCACCTCTTTCCATATGAACCTACTCAGACCCTGAGACCCTCTTCTCAGGCCCTTCTTCATGTGCCCCCTCCTCGAGAGGTTCGGAGGGTGGCAACACAAGAATGGGCCTTCTCTGCAGTGGCTCCCCATCTGTGGAATGCTCTCCCCAGGGAGGTTCAACTGGCGCCTTCATTATACACCTTTAGGCACCAGGCAAAAACATTCCTCTTTAACCAGGCATTTGGCTGATCCAATTTACATCCTAGGCCCTTTTAAAATGTGCTTTCTTTTGGGGGGGGGATTAGGTTGCTGTATTTATTTTCATTAGGTATTTTGTGGTTTTATATCTTGATTTTATTCTGTGAACCGCCCTGAGACCCCCGGGTATAGGGCGGTATATAAATTCAATAAATAATAATTATAATAATAATATTTAGAAAATAGTCCAAAGGGGAGGAGCCACCAAACCAGCCCCATAAGAACTCAATGGCCAGCTTCACAGCTATCTCTGACACCTCCGCAATGCCTTTCACTATGTTGGATAGACCCCTGCCTCTCCAGAGGGGGCAGAGACACTCCCTCCCTCACCTAGCTCCTGGAGGTACAAAGGGAGGTGTGAACAGATGGGAGAGATCTTGCCTTCAAGGCAGAATGTTAGGTTGCTTGCTAAGGAGCCGAACCACTCACTGCACTAAGTTAAGCCTGCCCCATATAAAAATGTGTATAATAGAAGCCATACTAAAAGGTTGAGGAATGTTTGTGAGGATTAAAAAATAATAATAATCGTAAACTGATGTAGAAAAGTGGAGCATTGAATTTAACACTGTAAAATGAGAAATCAAAATGGACATGTTTGTTTTTCCCTGAGTGTCTATGCAGTCCTAGTTTGCCCCTCAGAAAATAGGCTGCTACCCCATCTAGGACAGCATTTTCTGAGCTAACAGAAAGATCTCTTCTAGCCTTGTTGCTGAGATCCTTTAGGGACTTTCTGCATGCAAAGGTTTGTGCTGTGCTACTGAGTTATGCCCCCTCCCCTAACAAATTGCATCTGCCAAAATGTATTTGTGGTTTGAGAAATTATAAATGGATTCCCTTAACAGCCTATGTCTACTGCTCAAAGATACAATAGCAATGTAAGTTATGATGACCTTAGTAAGTTACATTTATAGCTGCAAGTTATCGTGAGTTCATTAAACCACATCTAGTACCCAAGTAGACTTTTTAGAAAATGCAATTAAATGGCTAAACAAATTGAAGATATGCCACTAGCTCAGTAAAAGAAAGCTCAGGGGAGAAGAACTAATATAGTTTGGCTAAACATATTGGCCATCGTAACTCAGTTAAGTCAGGGGACTCTACGTAGTCAAAACCAGGGTGGGTGGCATTTTTAGAACTGAAGACTATATTGGAGCAACTGGATCTAAAAATGCTTTGTATATTTCAGCTACACAAAATCCTCACACCTTTTACACAAAAGGCAGCAAACCACAAATGGTTGGTGTGTTCCGTTTCTTTCAGTAATACATTTACTCAGCCTCTTACAAAGCATGACAGATTGCCGTTTGGGGGGTTTGCTTTCTCAGCCTTTAGTTTCCAAAAGCTTATTTATGGAACTAAGGTGGCTAGAACGTTTCTCAGTGTTTTTTTAACCAAGCCTGCCTGTCGGTCATATAGGAGTTCCAAAGGGACCAGATATATGGAAACATGGGTCTTTTGTTTACCGCTGAATCGAAACAAACGTCAATTCATGGAAAACACAATTGGTGTTTGTTCTTCCCCACACCTTGACCTCACACACATGGCAAGGAATTCCTTAACCCAAGCCAGAAAAAAGCTGGGATTTTGAATGTCACATCACCATACTTCTCAGACCCTTCCTTCTCCTAGCCTAGCAGTTCTTAAAGTCTTAGTTATGATTGGCCAAGATTATAATCAAATGCATCAACCACATCAAATGTGCTCCCACGCCTAATTAGTAATAAAATTGTACTGTAATTGATATGCCTGGATTCTTCAGTTGCAGTTAATGAAGGCTTCCTGGTCCAAGTGAACTTCATGATTACACCCATACTCAGGCACAGATAGGCTGGTGCCTGTTGCTTTCTAGCAAAACATTTTTGCTCCTTTCTGGGAGCAGGTGTTCCGGGAAGATAGAGTGTGTAGTGGATCCCACAGGAGTCCCCCTCAGACATTTGTAACACTGCTGCAGGTTATCATGTTCCTATCTAATATGTATTTACACTGCATTAATTATGGTGCATTATCCCATTTAGAAGTGCAGCAATCCTGTTCTATATTTTGATTATCAAACTGAAGCTTAATAAGCTGAGATATGAAAGAGCCTCATCCACTTCCATGCAGCCCCTTCACTCCTGCTGTACAAGGAAAGAAGCCGGGAAGCTGCAATTAACCATAGCTTCCCTTTACAACACAAATGTCTTCTAAGCAAGCCAGTATATGAAGCCAAGGTTTAAAGGTGGCTACCAGATCAAGTTGGCTTTCATGGGAACCATTAATCACAGCTTTATGGTTCTAATGCCATATTGGCACAGAATGTAAAGCCATGATTTATTTAAACTGTGCTTTGTTTTTAAAAAACTACAAGTTAAGCACAAGTTGTCCCACAGACAAATCAAACAAACCATGACTTGCTTCTCTCTAGCTCTCCTTTGTATTTTGGTGAGTGCCCTGGGTGGGGCAGGCAAGCAAACCATGGTTAAGGAAAGGTGTTGAGTTTACACACAATGCCAAGCCATAGTTAAAGTTTTGTAAGTCAATGACAAATCATGGCTTCAGATCATGGTTTGTTGGTAGTAAACAAACCAAGGCTAAGACACTGGGCAAGGTTCACACATAATACTAAGACATAGTTTAATAAACTTTGGCTTAACATCACATGTGAACCAGGTCACAGGGAAGCAGTAGTTAACTATGGCTTCATGGCTTGTTTGCCCATTTGTGTGAAGAGAAGAACAAATGTGCAAATGTAGGAAGCTCATTTATATACTTCATTGGAGGTTTTTAAGTAGAGGTTGGGTGGCCATCTGTCATGGGTGCTTTAGCTGAGATTCCTGCATTTCAGGGGGTTGGATCCTTGGGTCCCAACTGTAAGATTCTATTATCTAATTGTGTGAATGTGGTCCATGCATTATATTTTTATTGACAAATAGGATGATACATGAACGGGCAGCTGCGCTACTTTGAACCCCTCTCTGTTCTACATATTCTACATGACTACCTACAACAGAGATTATCAAATCTCACCTAGCAGATTTACAGGATTGTGAAATTATATAGCTTTCCATATCTTTAATGGCAAGCAACACATATCAGGTATACCTTTGATGTGATCCAAACCAGAGTGACCCATAGAAGAAAAATAACACAGACCATGGTTAAGGCAAGTGTGGCTAACTTGTGGTCCTACAGACGTTGTTGTACTACAACTCCTAGCATCTGTGACCACCACCCCACCTCTCTGTGTAGTGATAGTTCTAAAATATTCAAAAAAAGGAGAATATGTTTTGGTTGGTGGTTATTTGGGAGTTTTTCCCTGAGGTACTAACCACTGTCATACACCTACTCTGAGCAGAATAATCACCATGTTTATGGTTTCTAAAGCTTATACAACAGATATGTACAACGTACTGGGCTTAAGGTCCGAAGATCCTTAAAATATTCACAGCAATTGAGTCCCTTGTTACATGAGCATAACTAGATCCACAGAAGTGTTACACCCATGACACCCAACTTTCCCCCACTCACCAAACCAAGCCTGCTGCTCCCCTTCCACTTCAATGGCAAGCCCAAAGTCAGCCAGTTTTACAGCAGCTCCCTTCAGTTTGGATGCCAGCAGGAGGTTCTCCGGCTATGGGAGGAATCGGTTAGAGGATAAACATACAGAAGCACAACTCTGAAGTACCCGTCAAATCTGCTTAGCCCTCATCTAATTTCTGGGTCTTTAAAAAAACCACCTTATAATTTTCAATTATAAGCATGCTGGTTAGAAAGCATGTCTATGGTGCAGCCCTCCTCTCTCTGCCCCATGCTCAGCAGAAATGTGGATACTTATGTACCCCACTCCCCTCACCGCGGGAAGGTGTGGGATACACAGCGCAAGTGGTGCTGTGATCTAAATCAGTGTTTCCCAACCTTTTTTGGGCAAAGGCACACTTGTTTCATGAAAAAAATCTCGAGGCACACCACCATTACAGCCCCGTGACGTCAGCGCGCAGCGTCACGCCGGGAGGGACGCACGAAAGTGTAAGTTTCAATTTTTTCCCCTCCCCCTTGCCTTCCTTCTGTGCCAACCGCCAAAAAGCCAAGAAAAAAGCCAAGACTTTAGGGCAGCAGGTCAACACGGAAGAAGCTCCTACCTAAGGACAGGTGCGACGGCCATGTCCTCTTCTGCCACACTTGGCAGCCCTGCCTCACGGTCGTGACTCCCACCCTGATTTCTCCCCGCAGGTCGAGCGGCACAGGCAGCCCAATGTGTCCAGCCCAGACACAAGCCCCGCTTCCCCACTCTAGATCCTGAATGCGACCAAGTGCTCTGGACTCCCAAGCAGGGTGGGAAAGAGGACTCGCATCTGGTAGCCTCCAGGCTCCTCGCCTACTCGAGGGATGGCATTGCAGGCAAGCTGCCGGCCGTCGCCATCGCCGCCCCCTCATGCGAGTGGACCTGCCCGGAGTGGTGGGCCGGGGGAGGCTCGCTCTCTGTGGGGATGTGGCCCACACGCGCGGCCCCGCTTCCTCCTGCCCAGGGCTGAGCTCCTTACCCGCGATCTCGGTCTCGCGCACACGGATCCCACTTATTCCGAAGCTCGCGCCACTAGCCGGGGCTCTCACACCGTGCCAGGGCGAGGCGGCGCGGCCCACTGACGTCATCGCGGCTCGCCGCTGCCCTCGACTTCCCTGTTCCCTCCCCTCCCTCGGGTCGCCGTGGTTACCGAGGACTGCAAGCTGCTCGGGCGAGCGTGGGGCATTAAGTGGGAGAAGGAAAATTAAAATTAAAACTCGCCTGAAGGCCGCCTCTCCGGATATCTTTCAAATTTTTTAATTTTTCCCGCGGCACACCAGGCAACGTCTCGCGGCACACTAGTGTGCCGCGGAACACCGGTTGGGAAACACTGATCTAAACCACTGAGCCTCTTGGGCTTGCCGATCAGAAGGTCAGCAGTTCGAATCCCTGAGACAGGGTGAGCTCCCATTGCTTGATCCCTGCTCCTGCCAACCTAGCAGTTCGAAAGAACATCAAAGTGCAAGTAGATAAATAGGTACCGCTCCGGTGGGAAGGTAAATGGCGTTTCCGTGTGCTGTTCTGGTTCGCCAGAAGCAGCTTAGTCATGCTGGCCACATGACCCGGAAGCTGTACGCCGGCTCCCTGGGCCAGTAAAGTGAGATGAGCGCCGCAACCCCAGAGTCATCTGCGACTGGACCTAACGGTCAGGGGTCCCTTTACCTTTACCTTTATGTACCCCGCTCCCCTCACCATGGGAAGGCGTGGTATACAACATTATTTATTTCCCTCAAGACTGCTTCCTCAACTTCCACTTGTACGTTCAAGCACTAAACATCAAGCCCAGGGTGTTTCAGTGTGAATGAAAACAAAACTGGAATGCTCAGAGCTCTCCAAACCAAGTGAATGGGTGGCCGAGCGGCTACTGCAGTGCCAAGCGAGTATAAAGTGATGCAACATAGGGCAAAAAAAATCCCCCTAGAAGCCTATCGTCACCAATGGCTACTAGTTATGCTCGCTATATATGCTGGATCAGAAGCAGTAGTATCTGTCTGAACCCTAATTGGTGGGGAACAACCAGAGGAGGGGCCTGTGTCCTATTTATAGGTTTAGCACTGTGGGAAACAGGATGTTGAGCTATGGATGCCTTTGGTCTAACCCAGTAAGGTTCTTCTTATGTACCAGCTTCTGTTCTCTCCTGGCCACTTAGCGGGAGCCCTGTCACATGGCTGCGTGGGCCATTTTTCTTGGTAATGAGTGTGAGCAGGGAGTTTAGCAGCACTTCAGTAGGTGGGAGAAATATAGAGGGTGACGTGTATTCTGGAGGAGGGAGAAGAAGGAGCGAAATACCAGAAATGAAGCGTGTGTTTCTTCAAGCAACAGGCAAAGGAATCGCTTATGGTGGTGATTGCAGGTGGGGACAAGGATTTGGAAACAAGACATTCAGGAAGGGCTGTCTCTAGGGGCAACTGCCCCAGGTACTGCATGTTGGATGCCCTGTACTTGATGGTGGCAGTCACAGTCAGCATGCTTGCTGCCTGGCCAGCCCAGCTACCTTCCACCCAGCTGGGAAGATTCTCCACCTCCTCCCTTCCTAGAGCAAGGGAAGGAAGGAGGTGGTGGAGGTGGTGGCAGAGGCAAAAGGGAGATGAAGGCAATGGGGAGAGCTAAAGGGTGTGATTTTTCCTGGGCCCCGCATCCCCTAGAATGGTCCAACATTCACTTGTCACAAATGGGTTTTTAAAAACTTACTGGATTTTCCCTGGAAAGGATTAAACTGTGGGTGGGATTTGATGCCAACAACATGGCATGCATGCTGTGAAAATTTTGCATGCATGGTGAGCTCCCATCCCATAATAAGCCAGCCCACAGATAGAACAACTCCCTAATTAGTGAAGAGGTAGCTCAGATGGCTGGCTGTTTTGGCAGACAACAGCGTACTAACAGGGCTGTCAGCTGCACCTCAGGACCTGGGATTGCCAACAGCATTGATTGAAGAAACATAGATCAGGTTTTCTTCTCTGCTGGGCTGCCTGACTCCCAGATCACAATCAGCAACCATGTTATTAGTGCATCCACTATAGAGAATTATGGTCAAGTTGCATGCTTACAATTGCAGTCGCCAGCAAGGAAGCAGCTGGCTGGCTCAGAAATCCCAAGGCAAACAGCAAAAAAACGCCCCTTGGTTTCTTATTGAGTCCCAGGTACAAGCTACTTGCAGTTTGTTTGTTTGTTTCCAGTGAGACACAAAACAGACTGTGAATCCTCTGACTGCTGCTTATGTCCAAATGAGAAAACATCTTATTTGGAGTAGGAGGTGGAATACTAGGATGGCGATATGCCTCAGCTAGCATCTTTTGGCCAGATTCTGACCGTGCCACGTGGTACTCATTTGGCTCATGAGCTACTGCAGAAATGTGGGAAACTGAATTTAAGATTGAGAAAATGAGAAACGGAGAAAACAAAAACCGACAGATCTTTCCAACCCTACCTTTGGCTTAGAGCACCCATAGCTTGAAGTATTCTTGGATACACTTACATTTTACAGCTGGCTTAATTAGGAAGGTAGATTTAAACCTGGAGGTGGCCACCTGTATCATTTCAGGCTGAGGGGAGGGCTCACATGATTGAATGTTCCTTCATAGTACAAAAAAAAGTCCCTCCTTGCAGAAAGCTAGGTATCAGCAAGAAGGATTTTAATCAAGCTTTCTCCCTGATATGCTAGTTTTCTATGGACGGGGATTATTTTCGGAGGAGGAACATTCAGTCCAATGCAATCAGAAGTTCGTACAGCTCCGACAGTTTACTACTGTACGTCTGTGAAAACTAGGACCTATGAAATCTACAGACTTCAACCACTTAACAATTCTATTTCTATTGAAGCTATGCTATCATCTACTTTCTATCAAAGTAAATCAACCAGGGTATGTTATGTTGGGTGTAGGAGTTGGCTGCAGAAGGGATACACTTTTAGTCTTACAGTTTATAAATATTTTACCTTTAAATCCCGGTGCACTACACCCATCTGGTGGCAATGTAAGACAGCTTCCAGGATCTGTTGAATGCAGTGACTAGAGAGAGAAAACACAGTCACATTACCTTGGAAGGGGTCAGGAGATGGCTTGAGGCAAGGTTTCCTAGCAGAGTCCTGTCTGCTCTGCTATCTTTTTGCCATTTCCTATTTTCCCATTCCCCTTTCCTGCTAGCAGCCATGAAGAATGGCTCAGTGCCTTTCTCTGCAGAGCCAGGCTTACCAACAGGACGGGAAATGAAATAACCATTGTAATCTGATTGCCATTGAAACTCTATTACAGGAGGGCATTATTGGAGGCCTTCGGGTTCTTCCGTGAGAGGAAAAAAGAGCAAAGCTGGTTGCTTTATGAGCATGCAGTGTTGCAGAAGCTAATGAGCAAAAACCACTGGATCGGTTTCTCACAGAAATTATGGCAGTAGATGGGGTGGCAAGTTCATGATCACTTTTCTCATGTTGGTAGGTCTCACTACGACAGCTTGATGAGACACACACATCATGTTGCAGGCATGTGGAAAACAGAAAATGAAGGCCCAGGTGTCAGAACAGCTGTCTGCAAAATGAAATGGCTCTGTTTACGTTTTTGGCAGATGCTAATAAAGCAATCGTTTATAATGTTCTGGGCATACAGGAAGCTTAATAAAAGCTGTTTGCTAAGAAGCACACCAAGCTGATAGTGTAATATGCCAGGTGATTGTTGGTGTGGTGTTAAGGTTGCAAGTCTATGCTTACTTACTCAGAAGTAAGTCCAGTTGAAGTTGGTGTGACCTATTTTCAAGTAAGCATCTTTGCATGGCAATCGTCATCTTACTAGTTTAATTCAAAGCCAAAGAATCACCCTCTCCACCCCAGCCCAAGAGTCACTGTCCAAATTAAAAGCTGGCAAAATTTCAATTAAGGGCATTTCAGGGCAACCTGCTTGTTGAACATGCATCCTGATTTATTTGCAGAGCAATCACACAATGCTGGTTATTTGATGAGCATTTGCCCTGATAATTTGTGCAGAGGTTAGATGGCATTGCATCAAAGCAAGAGCCATTTTACACTTTCCACTGTATTTCCCAAGCACTGGGAAAGGACCAGGGAAAGACAGTGGCTGCCGGTGCTGAGAAGGGAGCAGATTTGTCTGAGATCAGGGTGAAAAGGGAAGACGGAAGTGGGCACTGCAGTTGCAGTGTCTGTTTTTGTAGCTGCTCCCACCACAGCTGCCCATATCAAGAAGGAAGGAGCAGGGCCAAGAAGGGCTGGTTAAGGAGGTTTCATGGGCCAGATGCAGTCCGTGAGCCATCAGTTCCCAGTCTCTCACCTAGAGTCACACTGTATCACAGATTGTGCCTATATTGTGTATGAGCAGCTGCAGTGGCTCCACTTCCACCCCAAAACAAGGCACACACCAGTATTTTTTCATTTACCCTGGTCTATGCTGGCCCTTGATGTCTGTCATCATGAATCTTACTTTTATTTGGACTACTGGCTGTCTTTGGATTTTAATTTTACTGTATCTATATTGCATATATGTGTACACACACACACACACACACACACACACACACACACACACAGAATATGCACTGTATTTTGTATTGTTGTTGGACACTGCCTGCTTACATGACAAGAAGCATAGTGTAGCGATACAAAAAGATTGAAGGCCAAACTAATCGGTGACAGAGATAGAGATAAGCAGCAGGTTCTCAGCCTTGTTGCCTGCCAGCCTCAGAGATGAAGTGTTGTACAGTTTTTCCTAGGCACTTATTCTTTCCCCCATACCCACCTGGCATCTGCTTCACTATAGTATTCTCTAGCAACGATGTCCTCAAACAGTTCTCCGCCTGTCACCCTGTGAAGAAATTAAAGAGGAATCAGTCCCAGCTCCAGACATCCTCCTGCTGCAAGGGATGGAGGCAAAAGTCAAGGCAGTTCACATTTAAAGGAAAGAGTGTGCTAAACCCACACTTTCCCAAGTAACACACAAAACAAAAAACAACCATCCTTTGAAATGCACACTTCTCTGAATTTTGCAATGAAGTTCTGCAGCCAAGTAATGTATACATTATTTTTTTAAGCATATACTGGGGTAAAGCACCCATATGAATACCTGTAATAGTGGCAAGGACATACAAAATGTATTTTATTAGTGAAAACAGTTCTGAGCACATGCTTTGTATGCAGAAGGTTGGAGGAAGAACTTTCTGATGGTAAGAGCTGTGGGGAAATGGTGGGGAAATGGTGGATTCTCCTTCCTTGGGGATTTTTAAGCAGAGACTGGACGGACATCTGCCATGGATGCTTTAGTTGAGATTTCTGCATTGCATAGGGTTGGATTAGGATGACCCTCAGGGTCCCTTGCAGTCCTGTACAGTTCTATAATTCTATTATTCTGCCATAGCTAGCAGTGCTATTCATCCTATCAGATTTTTTTGCCTCATTCTGCAAACTGTAGGACTGTAAGTCTGGAGGAAATGATGAAATGGGCTATCACCATTTCCCCTTTGTTGTCTTAATATCTTGCCTCGTGTGGGCCATATGCTAAGCATGCAGAACAGCAATCCCCTCTCAAGTGACCTTGCCAACCTCACTACTTCCTCACCAGCCTTCTTAGAATTTCTAGTGGAGAATTTCTACTGTGATTTTGCTTGCTGGATAGGAAGGAGAAATTAAGAGCAGCCTGAGAAGGAACAGGAGATGTATCAGCGCCGTCTTGGATGCCAGACCCCTCTGTCTCAAAGGAGTAACAAAGAAAAAACTGCAGCGCCAGGCAGGATCTCTTAAAGGATTTGGAGAACAGTGCAAGAGCAGCTGGTCCTCCAGGGACTTCACATTCAATATGCTAATTGTTGCTCTAAGAAGCTTGAAGGGCTGATCTGCATAAAGAGCAGTGCTAATTCTCTTAAAGCTGGATGCTGCAAAACGCTTTGCGAAATCCAAGCCACTTAGCTGCTCTGCTTTCTAAAAGGGTTGGACACAAGCTACCCAACACTGATATCCAACTGTGATAGGGCACCAACTTAACCTGGAGACAGCTTTTAAGGAAGTTGAAGGTTGTTTGGCAGAGCCATTGTAGTCTGTGATGCACTACATACCAATTTATTTGTCTCTTGTCAAATGGGTTTTGCAGGGTTTTGACTCATTCCAAAGTATCTGTTTGCCTCGTGATGGTAGAGAGACAGAAAATGTGTGCATGAGGCATGTGGGAAAATGGCTCCATCACACCACGTTCACTTTTCAGTAGGTGGGTGGAGAAACTCTATGATCTAAGTCCACTTTGGACTGAGTAGCTCTCAGACTGTGTGTGTGTCCCGAGATGGTGGAGAGGTAATGCCCCCCTAGTGATTCACAAAGTACTTAACATGCATATGAAGATTTATTCATGTCCCGCCATTACTTACAGGTCAAATATCAGGTAGTGGTGTGCCTCCTCTGATATGCTGTCATGAAGCCTCACTGCAGAGACGAAAATGGAACAGGTTACCAGCCAGAATAAACTTATTATATTCAGAGGTAAATCTACTGGTCTTTCACCTTGGTCCACTGAGCTGAAATACTTCCCTAGTGCAATGCAGGCTGCAAGTGTATGAAGTGGAACCACACTTCACCTCACCTATATTCATGTATGTATTTATTTTCTGACATTGATAGCCTTTCCTCCATCACTGAACCCAAGGTGAGATCCATGTGGTTCCCAGAGGGCCACCGATCGACGCACTTACCAGACCCAGGCCCACTTAGCTTTATCAAAGTAGCGGCCTCATATACCTTCAGAACATGTCCTGGGAACCTTCCCCATCTTGCCATATATTCAATGCTTCAAAATGTTGAAAAGGAGGTAAACCTTCTGCAACATACATGCATCCAGGGAGTATTTTCTGATCACTGAAGTCGACTTTACTGACCTTGGCAAACACTGCCGTTTTTCTGCCGAAGGTCTTTATGACTGCAGACCGTCAAGTAACAGAAACAATGGTTTCGATATAACACGGAAGAGGGAGAAAAGAAACAGTGGGTTTCAATGGAAAGAAGGCAGACTATGGGCCAATTCATGGGACCTATTGTGTGTGTGCCCAGGTGTGAGTTGAATGGATTTGCTTTTCAGCTGAGGATGTGCTAAAGTGCTCGTTTGTTTGTTTATAATGTGCCTAGATTACTTGTCAGCCTTACACAGTGAAGCCAAGTACATTTGTTTCTCCATTCAGCTCACTGATGGCTAACTGGATAGTTGGACACGCGATGAAATGATCGGGCAGCTTTGCCAGGGACTCTGCTGCAGTCATTCCCCATATCTCATCCATGTTCAGGGAAACAACAGATGTTTATTGTGGGATCGGTGCATCTCATGCATACAAGGTTGGTTGGGTTTTTTTACTGCATTCATATGAAATCATTGTCATCAAAATGCCAGTCTGTGTTGTTTTCTCCCTTTAATTCTGATTTACCCTTTCCATGTAAATTAGATGCATTTTTTAGAAAAAAATCTTGCCAATGCCTTATGTGTATGGTATTTCAACAAGAGCTTTGTGATCTTACCACCACCACCCCACAAAAAAACCACATCATTTACCTCTAGCTGCTAGATCGTGCAGACTCACAACAGGGAATGGATGACGGCATCTCACTCCGACAATAAACTTCCCTGAGGCTTTGGGCCAGCCATTGTTAGAATGAGTCAGGCCTAGCTTGGGAATTCCAAGTTTATATTCTTTTGAGAACTGGGCTGCAATTCTATGCAGCCTAAAACACTAACATCCGACAGATTTCCATTTTAGGATTAGGGTGAAAGCTGAAATTCTTCAAAGGGGAAAAACAAATCATACGGTTGACCAAGGTGGCTCTTCCCACTATTCAGGATTGTACAGTTAGAACCCAGCAGCTAATAACAGGCAGTAGATGCCCCAGCCCAGGTGACAGCAACCTCTCTATATCTCCCTCCCCCCGACTCTCAATGCCTAATATCTTCTCCATATCCCCATATCCCAAAGATTGCTGCCATTTGCTTGGCTTGATAAACACAGCTTCAAAGGCAGTCTTGTTAAGACAGTACTCTGGCAGGCAGGGCAGGGTTTCTCTAGCAGCTTGGCTTGGTGATGGCATTCCCTCTGACCTTTTCCCTCCTTATTGGGTGCCAAATATCAAATTATCCTGGCATCCTCCAAGGATAGCTTCCATAGCCGAGGGAACACTCCTCCTCCATCATCCACAACTCAAAAGACCGGGAATGGAATGAGAAACATGCTGGAACAGCCTTGATGTTCTCTGTGTGAGACTTCACACATACAAGCTCCAGGGAATCCATTCTATATTTTTCACAATGTGGGGGCTGTGCTTAAATTTAACAATTATATTTTTTTCTGAAGGCTTGAAAGGAATATTGCTACACCTTTAAGGGTTGCCTAGAAGAGACAATTTCACCAGGTTTGCTTTTTCTCATCAGGGAAAATACTGTGATGAAAAAAATAGCCCTTAGAAGAAAAATTGACAAGAATTATTACAGTCGATTTCCACAGATGTAAACTTGACAGAAATGGTTATTATCCTCTGCAGTACAGAGTTTGCACTACTGCAGCCTGGTTTAGCTGCTGAAAATGTGATTAGTCAATCGTTTGGGGTGTCACAATGCCATTTAGATAAATGCACATTATCAAAATATCCCTTGACCCATGCATATTTAAATATTACTATTTAATCTAATCTCAGTATGTTCTAGAATGATGAGATATTTCTGAAAAGTGTGTGTGTGTAAATGCATATTCCCAATGGCGGGCAAAAAAATGGAGGGAGAAACGAAAGAGGGGGGAAATGGGTTTATATGTATTTATGAAAAATCTAAGCAGAGCAATTTCAGCTACTGAAATTTTAATCACAACTTCTGCATAACCTTTGGAAAATATCCAGTTATCTGATTCCTGCTATCACCAGAAAATTATTTTGTGCTAAGATACATTTCCAAATGTAAGAACAATCTAACAATCAGCTGCAAGAAGGCTGGGAAGACACCCAAAGAATCCTTAACAAGAAGAATATGAGTTGTTTCATATAATAACAGAAATGGTTATTATGAACAGTCAGAGGAAGGGATCCACATAATTGGCATGCATGTCATTCTTGATTTTGAAGGAGGTAGCCTCTCTACTTCCCATATTTATTTAAACATTTAATATTACCCACTAGAACATAATTCCAAAAAAGGCCAGGATAAAGAGGATGCTGATGTTGCCTAATGAAAAAATGTTCTTTAAAAATAAAATTTAAAAATCGACAAGTCATCTTCTTACCGCAAAATTATTCCATTTACAATATAGGGGATTGTTTTAAGGAACACTGAAATAATAGATGTGAAGTGTCAGTGTAAAGTGGCACTATAAATGCCCCGAATACAAGTTTCTGGGAATCAGAAGTGGGGCAAGTGCCACAGGAGCCAACTCCTAATGACCAAGGTCCCTTTGCCCCTTCTATAAAATATTTGAGGGGGCCAGGGGCTCCAAAGTTGATGGGAAGTGCCATTTAAATGGTGTGCATGTGCCACGTATTGTGAGTGATTATGCAAGGCAGGGCTTACTGGGACCCCCAATACTTTATTCAAGTTGGCACCCTAGGCGAGTGCCATTGCACTCAAGTCCTGCATATGGGCTTCCTATAGGTATCTGGTGAGAACAGGATGCTGGACTAGTCGGGCCACTGGCCTGATCCAGCATGGCTCTTATTTTGCCCTTATGTCTTATGTTCTTAATAGATTACATGATGAGGAACAATGACATATGAGCAGAATGCAGGACAAAGAAGATACAAAGTGCCAGTACCTGAAAGACAGGTAGGTAGGGCAGAGATGAGAGAAGAATAAATATCTGCCCTCTTGTTGCTCTGGCAAGGAGTCTTTCTTGTAATACTTGATGCTTCTCCTTGCAACACTTCATCTTTGTCCCCTTGCAAGTTTGACATGAAATTTATTTTTCAAAGTTATTATAAATACATCACAACCTTTGTTAAAATGTTGCCATCTAATTTTGATTTGCCCTGAACTTGCTGTGAGATTTATTATAGCATTTTCATTCAAAATTATCACATCATTATTTCAGAGAATGATGGGTTTTGCTATGCTTGAATGAATCTTTCTTTCTTTCTTTCCACCTCTGTGTATTTGAAGATTTGAGGCATGGCCATTACTCCTATCTATTTGTTTTATTTTTCATCTTTGGCTTCTGCATTTTGCTGCTAACTTTCAGAGATATGTGCTTACCCAATTTCCCTCATTTGTGCTAAGAGTTATTACTTCCTTTTTTGTTGGTATTTTAATAGAAATGTTAATAAATTGATGTAATCATAATGTTTCCCCACCACACCAATCATTTGTTGTTGCTGTTTTCTAAACAAAACAAACAAACCTATATGAGGCCAAACAATGAGAACCATGCCTCATGTCCCTTCTGTCTACTTTGGTCTTCAGTCATAGTCTTCCTCTATATACCTCCACCGAAAGGTAAGTCTTGATCAGTACAGCTGAGCTAATGGGTTTAGAATTGTCCTGCTAGCACCAGTATACACTTAATTCTGGGGCACAGTGAGGCAGTTGCTTCTGGCAGTGAATGCTGAATGGCAGGGAACAGTGAAGAGGTACAGAAGAACAGGTAAGAAGACACCAGGAATCACAAGACAGAGAAACCAGTAGGAGAACACTTCAATCTCCCAGGACATTCTATACAAGATCTCAAAATAGCTGTCATATTACAAAAGAATTTCAGAAATAGATTGGAAAGAGAAGTTGCTGAATTACAACTGATTACCAAACTTAAAACCATGGAGAGACCTGGTCTGAATAGAGACATTGGATTCTTATCTCATTATACATGATAAAGCTATTTTTAGCCATCTCACCCCTTGCTTTTTCCTGTAAGACCAATTGCAGTCGTTAACAGGTCAACAGGTTAACCATACCTATCAGCCAATCACCCATTCCCACCACCCTTCTGAGTAATACCCCTCCCCACCCTCTCACTATATATAAGGGTCTGGTGACTTCTGTTTCAGTGTATCTGAAGAAGTGTGCATGCCATGCACACGAAAGCTCATACCAATGACAAACTTACTTAAGTCTCTTAAGGTGCTACTGGAAGGAATTTTTTTATTTTGTTTTGCCTACGGCAGACCAAAATGGCTACCTACCTTTATCTAGATAAGAAGAAGGGCCCTGTTGGACCTGCCTAAAGGCCTACCCAGTCCAAAACTCTGTTCTCACCTTGTGGTAAACCACTGAAAGCAGAACAACGCTCCCCAAACAGTATTTAGAGGCATACTGGCTCTGGCAGTGGTCATAGAACATAGGCATTGTTGACTAGTGGCTATTGGTAGCTTTACCCACCATGTGTTTGTCTAATCCTCTTTTTAAAACCTCCCAAATTGGTGGTCATCACTACCTCTTGTGGGAGCAAATTCCATAGTTTATGCTCTGTGCA